TTTTTTCAAATTTTATTTTGTTTTATTTATGATTGGGGTAGTTTGCCACATGACAAAAAGAAATTTATGTTTTTCCTTAATGACTGGAAAAGTTTACATTTTTTTTTTCTTTTCCCTGTTTTAGTTGAAGTACAGCAGTACCAGTCAAAAGGAGCTCTTCATGTAAGTTGGCAATATTTTGTGCTGGATTCAGGCCTGTTTTTTTTTCTTTTTTTTTAACATTTTTTTGATATCCTCTCTTAACTGTCACACCCTAATATCAGTATCCATATTCTCCATACTCTTCTCTATACAATTCCTTTGGTACTGACAGGGAGAATTTGTTTAGCAATCACAGCTTCTTGGGTTGGCAATCTTTTTCTTTATTTTTATGATCTTAATTTATTTAATTCAGCAGTACTATAGTAAAATGAAATTTGATGTTGGTCACTCTTAGGGGTTGAAGGATTAAAAGAGAGGCTTGAAGCTAATTTATATACTAGTGATGACAATTTGGCAGTCTAGAGACCTAGCAAACCAACAGTCTAAATTGCAGATCAAAATGGAAACAGTGGACAAAGAGCTATGTTTTAGAATCATGACCCTTTGCTGAAATTCAATCTAGCCCAATTTTTCATTCTCATGCCATTCCCCAATACAACTCTGTCTACACAGAGACTTCTGTGTGGCTGACATGCCCCCATGAAAAAGGAAAACTTAACATGTTTGGAAGCTAAAGCTTACCCTGATCAAAGATTCTAATCATGCTGACCCTTTTTTTTAACATCACTCACTGAGCTGTCATCTCAGAAAAAACTTGTGTTGAGTTACACATGATAAATGAAAGTAAATTTTATGTACATTTTCTTTGTTCCAGCTATATGAGGAAGTGTTTGAGAAATCCCTTCTGAAAGAAACTAAAGAGTACTATAGGCGAGAGGCAGCAGAGCTGCACTGTGGTAACACTTGTCAGGCTTTCATTTCCAAGGTAAACAGAATAAAAAACAACAAATATCAAATTATACTTGTACAGCTGTGCCGTACAGAAAGATATCCACTAACAAATGATTGTTAGTTAGATTCATCCATGTCTCCCAAACATGTGGTAGATAAGTGGTGGTGGTTGTCAGGACAATGACAAAGGGGACCAAACATTTAATACCTCAGTTAAACCCATCACTCCCAAGATCTCATGAGTAATTCTCCTTACTGTCTGCCATACAGTTCTTGTGATGTTAATTCAGAGAATTTGGCATTGAATCAACTAATGATCCCTTAACTGATATTTTTCTTTATTCTCATCACTTGCATACTTGATATTGTATTGATATTGTAAGGAGAAATTCTGTCTTGGTCACTCATGTGAGTTAAAGGGTTAATACTTCTCAGCTCATTAATAGCCTGTGAAAAACATCAATTCCAATCTTTATATTAGAATTTCAAAGGGAAAGAATTTTCTAGTGGTCTCACCAGTTTTCTAGTGGAAAATAATTTTATTATTAAAACTTTGCAAGTGAATAAGAAGTTAACTTTGAGCCTCTTTCGATTGAGTGTCATGCAAACAAAACCAAAGTTATCACAACAAGCAATCAGAAGTTTTTTCAGTTTTGTGTCTGGTTGGTTTAGAGGATAGTGTAAATTTTCGAGAGAAGTCTCAGGGCAAAGTTGAAGAAAGCAAAGCAATCCTGGATTACTTTTGAAATTCAATTGAAAATTGCTCTATGGCCATTGTCTCAAAATATATGGATATTAAATGATTAGTACTGTAGGGACCCATGGTTTTTAAACAAGGCCCCTGGCTACAGTTTTAAGTTTCTAATAAAACGGTAAAACGGTAACCTTACAGCATGTTCCAATTAAATTAAAATTTCATGTGTAACATTTTGATTTTTTTCTTTAGGTTGACATTCGCATTCAGGATGAGGATTTAAGAACAAGGAAATTCTTCCACCCCGTGTCATACAGTCGGGTGATCAGGGAGTGTGAAGCACGTATGGTGGAGGATTACATTCCTTACTTACAAATAGAATGTCGGCAGATGGTGCAGGAGGAAAATACTCAATGTTAGTCACAATAGTTTTGATGTTTTTTATTGTAAAAGTGTAGGAGGTATTTCATTTTTCACGACTAGTTCTTTTTACCATCTTGTTCTGCAACCTCGTCCCCAGGACCCTCCCTGGAGAGAGGAAGGGAGAGGACCCCGGAAACGAGGTTGCTTGTCCTGTTGGACCAATACTTGCATATTGCTGGAATTTCCTGAGGGTGGATGTTTATCCTTCTTTTTTTTTTCTGTTTTTTTCGCAATATATTTTGTATGCAAATTAAACCTGTAGGAGGCTTGTATTATCCGCTCAATACAGGCTCTGGTAAATTGCGCTGCCTAAAAGAAAACGACAAAAACAACAACGAATCTTCCGGTTTGTTTGACCTCTTTCATGTAGTAGAATTCCTTCACCAATGGAAATATTGACTTGAGATATGGTTGTAGGCAACATAAATGTGTTATTGACGCCACTGGGTCTCTTACGCTGTATGACATTTCAAAACACGAACTGACCACGTTTCAAAAAGTTACAAATTTCCAAACAAAAGCTCTAGTAGTTAAATAAATTTTATTTGACCAGCGGATGAAAATCAAGCAAAGAAATTATTTTCATAAGTGGATTGCAAATTAAGCAATTACAGAAAAAAAGCCTGAAAAAAAATTCAGGCTTGGACGGGATTCAAACACGTCTCAAATTTGCCTCGCTCCCAATGTGTGGTCTCGTAGCTCAGTTGGTAGTAGCGGCCAGCTAGAATCTTGGAGGCATGGGTTCGAATCTCGTCGAAGCCTGAATTTTTCCAGGCTTCTTTTCTGTAACTGCTGATGATTTACAGTCCACCTGTGAGAATTATTTCTTTGCTTGTATCAAAGCTTTATAATACAACAATGGAAGTTGTCCGCTTTTCTCCAGTTTTCGGTCACAAAAATGCCCAAATGAAGTGTGTACGTCCGCTTAATAGAGGGAAGAAAAACCGGGACTTCAGGTGACGTCCGCTCAATACAGGGGTGTACCGCTGACCCCTTATACCCTAACATCAATGGGCATGTTCTCTTATGTGTTCCCTATTATTTCTGATGGCCGTGACCAGAAACATTTTATGAACAAACAAGAGTTTCTTTATTAGCGATTATTTTCTATAATCTCACGACGTCAATGTTTGGTTCAGTAGTGATACTGTAATGAGAACTTAGATGCTAGTCAAAGGGTTGGTATGGGTCCTGCTTCAATTGCATCATTTATCACACCAGAAAAAAAACTCAATCGTAATTTGGTATACGATTCTCCAGGCATCGTAAACGATCTGTTTGTTATTTCTTGTTATTCAGATCTTTCGAAGCTATATACACTTCTCAAACATATTCCTCGTGGATTGCAAGCCATGGTGACAGAACTGGAGGAACACATTACAAAAACTGGTAAAAATTCGCAAACAGTGATTTTGTTTTCATGTCATCTACAGTGTAGTTCTCATGATTTAAAATCGACCAAACAAGGAGGAGAAGGGGTATAATGAAGGGGGAATGCGCTGCACATGCGTGAACGGAAATCTGTTATTGTTTAGTGTAACCAAAACATTAATCGGGAAGTCTTTATTTGATTTGATCTTTTATAGGTCTTCAAGCAATCAGATCAGTCAAAGTTGAGAATGTGAGTGATCCTCTTGTATAGCGCATATACAGTCATTTTCTATTGTCCTTAAAATTGAGAAAGATGTTTTTTTTCCGTCTTGTCACGAGCGTGGGCCAAATAAAAAAATTCTGAGTCCCCATGAGGAATCGAACCTCAGATGCTCTAACCACTGAGCTTGAGAGACTCCACGGTGAGCGAGGTCTATTACGAAGTTCATATGACACGCGTCCTGCACACTGCTAGGACCAGCAATGTCGATAGCGTAATGTTTGTGGATAGAAACAAGAGAGATGGTAAGTTTTGAGCTCGGTAAAGAAATAGAGAAACGTGTTTTTTTTCGTCTTTTCACGAGGGTGGGACAAAATTATTCTCTCGTGGGCCATAATTGACATTTAGATTAGACTTTTAGTTAAGCAATACGCCGCATTTCTGTCTTTTCACAGGCGTAGGAACCCACGAGGGATGTTGGGAGAATACGATAAAAGTTTGTAAACCACGAGCCGGCAGCGAGTGATTAACAAACTTTTCGAGTTTTAGTGTCTATCAAGGAATAAATAAAGAGTAGCATAGCCAATCAGATTGCAGCATTTGTGCTAGAGCACTAGTCCAGTTATACTGATGTGCTATGTGCATTTATGTGCCTGCAATTTTAGGGCCCACAGCAATATGTAGACGAACTACTGGGAATCCACAGAAAATTCTCACATCTCATCAAGGATACATTTAGGGACGATCCTGCATTTATATCAGCTTTAGACAAGGTGAGTCATTAATTCATGTCCATGTATTCTGACACTAAATCAAAACTTTTTACCGAGCTTGGCGTACTGTATGCCAAGGTCAGAACAAACTGGTTTCAATCACCTTTGTTATTTATTGAGCCAAAAGTATGCACATGAGAAAGTAGTTCTAATTTCTCACTTATTTTTTTTTCATTCCTCCTCCAGGCTTGTGCAAGTTTAGTCAATTATAGGCATGATCCTAAACGCTCTTCAAAATCTCCAGAACTGGTAATAGATTTAACATTTTAAAACAGTCATAAAAGGTTTTAGAGCTCTTTCCGATTGAGTGTTGTAAACGCAAAACCAAAGCAACCACAGCAGCCAATCATAACAAGGAAAATATCACGAGGAGCCAATGAGAGCTCAAGTAAAATCAAGCAAAGTGGCTTAAGCGCGGGAAAACGCGGATGACCAAGTTGCGAATGGTTTTAGTTTTGAATCTTATTGGTTCAGAGAGTGGCGCGATTTTCCTGAACTAATCAAAGAGCGGAGTAAAGGAAGAAACAAATCATTCCTGGATTACTTTCCACACTCAATTGAAAATTGTTCTCTATCGTGTTGTAGTTATATTGCAGTGTGAGTTTTCGTTACATTAACCTCTCGTCTTGAATATTTATGTACTATTTTTCGTTTTAATAGCTCGCCAAATACTGCGATTCCATACTAAAAAAGAGTACAAAGAATCTCAGTGATGCAGAGTTAGATGAAAAACTTGGGGATATTGTAAGTTAATAGTTTAAAGCACGTTGTATCTTTTTTACTCCGGCTACATGCTTCATCAGTGCTTCCTTGTTACGTGTTCTGTATTCCTACGGGTTCCATTAGTCCAAAATGATAGGGGAAAAGAATTGTACGCTCCATAACACGATAGAGAGAGATTGCAATGTGGAATGAACAACCTCAAGTGAAATTTCATTTTGAAGAATTGTTTTAACCTACAAACAGCATGTTAGAACCAAGCCATTAAACAACAACACAAAGCCTTTGAGTCTTGGTGTTTTAACATTTTGGTGAAGCTCAAACGGAATGGTAAATAAACAGGATCCCCGTTATTGAATAATCTTGCACTTTGAAAGTGAAATTCCAAGACTGCGCGAGACATTAACTTTTCTTAAGGATTTCCTGCTCACACTTGATTTTAAAATGTTTCATTTTTCGGTGACTTTAAGATTGTTCTTGCATTTTTTTCTTCTCTTAGATTATTATTTTTAAATATATCGATGACAAGGACATATTTCAAAAGGTATGTTTTTGTAACTTCCAAATGCATGGAATTCGCTTTATTGCTTTTCCACGTAGAATAATCCATGTGCTGCACTTATTGAAAGCGCAACTACCTTGAATGATCCTTTTTCCTTTTTTCAGTTCTACTCCAAAATGTTAGCAAAGAGACTTATTCACACACTTTCAGTTTCAATGGACGCTGAAGAAGGAATGATCAGTCGCTTAAAGGTGAGTACGCTTACGTGACCTAAGGACAGAGTAGACCTTCACGGGTGTCCTTCGCAACAAAAAAATTAACGCGCTACTTGAAACGTAACCACCATAAACTGTATATCAGTGGCAATGGAAAGTTCATGAAATTTGCTATCCGGCAAAAATTGTTCCGTTTTAGCCTGATCTAATCGTAAACCGACTGAGGCGCGACAATTCGAAACGGACGATGTTCAGTCCTTTGGGCAAATTAATCGGGTATCAAATCTGACTGCGTAAATAAAACTGCTGCACAGTCAATTTTGAATCCTGAGGGTTGGTCTTCAATACCTTTTGGGGATATTTTTTTCGATATTTTTGTCGGTTGCTTGGAAATTTTTCTATCAAGTTTGCTTCTTATCGATGCGTGTTACGTCAGGGCTATTTCGGGAGATCCATTTCGAGAAAAGGAATTCCCTCAGACGGTTTTTCAGGATTTAAGACCCTACAAAAAGTATTATTTCGATTATGAATTTGTTTTACAATTTTAGTTTAATAATCTGTTAAACCTGTACTACTTTTTTTCTCCGTTTTTCCCTCACTAAACATTATTTTTGAGAGTATTGCTTTGTGATGGATCGCGACTTATGGGGTTTACCAGCAACCTTGAAATTTTGCCGCGTCGTTTGGATGGCATCTTGAAGAACTAGGCAAGAATATTTTCAAGAATGTTATCTGCAATTTGCGTCAATCTTTTCAGTCTTAATCCATCTTCCCTTCCTTCCTTTGGAAATATTACCAATAGCCAATGGAAAGCTGCCTGAAGTGCGGGAAAACGCACATGAACAGGTGACCAGCGTGACCAAGTGACCAGCTGATACAAAGCTGCCTGAACTGCGGAAAAACGCGCGTGACCAGGTGCCATTTAGTTTTGGTGTTGTATCTGATTGGCTGAGAGGGTGGCGTGTGTGTTGTAGACCAATCACAGCGTCAGGGAAATGAAACAACTTTAGAGCAATAAAGGATAACTTTCGACGCTCGATTAAAAAACTTATTTAAAAAACTAAAAATATAGTATTCAGCTTTATTACCAGCAATCTTTTCCTCTTGCAGCACGCATGTGGCTATGAATACACGAACAAGCTTCACCGCATGTTTACGGACATCAGTATCAGCTCTGATCTCAACTCTAGTTTTAACGATTTCCTCTCTAATGCCGAGGTGTCTCTTGGAGTTACTTTTACCCTCTTTGTCTTACAGGTAAATTCATGTCATTCCTAAACATCTGGGCCCAGTTATTCGAAGGTCGATTAGCGTTAACCCAAGGTTAAACTGTAATCTGGGTTTCTTTCCTTTATTCAAAATCCTTTTTGGGATAATTTTATGTGTTATTTTTAGAGCATCAAATAGTCATATTCTAGACAAAAAGAAATTCGACTGAATTTTCTTTTAAAACTTTCAGATCTGAAATCAGATTTCACACTAACCCTGGGTTATCTTAACCCAGCTTTCAACAACCCGGCCTTGCAGTTTTTCAGAGAATTAGATTCTCAGATCATTTTTGCTAAGTAATTGACCAATGTGCAGCACTAGAGCGCTTATTGATTGGCTGTTGTAAAACTAAAAACAAAGTACTCACAACGGCCAATAAGAAGAAGGAAAACTGCGCGGGAAAACGCGGGCGACCAAGTCGTGTTTGGTTCGCATCTGATTGGTTGAGTGAGTGGCGCGACTTTTCTGAACCAATCACAGAGCTTTCGACACTCAGTTATTACTTACTCTATTGACAAGTTATTTCTTACATAAACTCTGTTTCTCTTATAAACTTTTTAGTCTGGGGCGTGGCCTCTTGGGCAGACTTCAATCTCACCGCTGTCCATCCCCCAGGAATTAGTAAAATCCGTTCAAATGGTAAGCAACAATGTCTAAAATCTAATTATGTTGTTTTGCTAATTTGTAGATCTCTCTAATTATTAGACTTCCGGCTGATTCCCTCCTTATTTTTTTCCTTGAATGTTTTTTCAGTTTGAACAATTTTACAATGGAAGATTTAATGGCCGCAAATTGACGTGGTTACAACACCTGTCGACCGGTGAGTTGAAAAACGGCGCAACAAGTTCAATTTTCTTCCTTTTGTTACTTTTTTGATGATAAAGGTAAAAAGATCGCCAACTCTCTTTGTCTTATCGCAGGTGAAGTCAAAATTAGCTACCTTAAGCGCCCATACTTCATCACAGTTACCACTTTTCAGATGGCGGTCATATTGCTGTTTAATGAAAAGACAAGCTTGCATTTTAGGTACGTCATGATAATATACTGGGAGTGATAGACCAGCATCTAATTTATCCCTACAATGATACTGCTGAATCTTTCATTAAGGTCACGAATTCTCGTGGCCTTAATGAATGATTCACCAACCAACAAGGATTTGATTATCAACCGAAGTCTCCTTGTCAGTACCAAAGGTAATGTCTAGGTAAGAGTATGGAGAACATGGATACTGATGTTAGGGTGTAAAGGGTTAAGTGTTTGAACGATCAGATGAATTCTCTTTTTCAGCGAAATCCTTGAACAAACCCAACTGGTGGAGAGAGAATTAGTAAGGACGCTACAATCTCTGGCGGACGTACGACTCATATTACTTTCTGAGGTAAGGAGAACACAGGGATTAAGCTTTACCACATATAGACCCAGTTTTGACCAGTATACATCGCGCACAACCGCCTATGAAAAAAGTTATCGATACTCCAGTTTACTGTTTGTGTTAAGGAGTTTCTGATCATCTAAAGTGCTTCTTATCAACTGGGCTTGTCCGAATCTTTATCATTTCCGTGGTTGTATTGATTTGCGGCCCTTTATTTGGTTCACATTTTCTTTTCAGGACGCCGACCCAACCAAGTGTATGTATTCTTTAAACATGGATTTTTCCAGCAAACGGACGAAGTTGAAAATTACTGCCGCAGTCCAGAGGGAAACTCCTCAGGTATATACAGTTACATACAGTTACTGCTACCCTGTTCACTCCAAGTTGTTTCTTTGATCATTAACCAAAATAAACATTAGTAATCCCCTCTCAACAATGGTCGAGCTACGAACGACTTATTCACGAGATAAACGCAGCTATCAAATGAAAAACTTTATTCATTTATAAAGTCTAGTTGTCCTGTTCTTGGTTTTTTTTTTAATTTTGCAAATAGAAGTATATTGTTGGTGTAACTGAAGCATACAGAAGATAAAGAAGACAGTAAGAAGACTGTATTAATCAGTGTTTCGTCCATATCTCTTTCCTTGTAGGACACCGAACAGACCTTGTCAGCGGTCGACGATGACAGGAAAATGTACCTTCAAGTAGGCTATCTGGGGGATGCTTTTTTCGTTTTGTCATTTTTCTGTTTTTGAAAGCTGAAAGGAGGTGGAGAAGGGCAAAATAAGAATAAATGATTAACTTATTTCTTCTGCGTTTAGGCTGCCATCGTCAGAATAATGAAATCCAGAAAAGTTTTGAAGCACAACGCTCTTATTCAAGAGGTAAGAGAATTACAAGTCACTGATTAATAGATTGCAGTATTATGAGAGCTGTACAGACACGAACTGAGCGGTCCCGGGTTGTAGAGAGTTGCTAAGGGGGTGGGGGGGGGGAGTAATGTGTGATGGACTGACATCTCATGGGGGGGGGGGTGCAGCAATCAGCAATCCTCTTGGTCGCTTCAACTGGTTTGTATTTAGAATGCTCCTATACTTCGCTTACAGAGTAAAACACGAAACCAAGATATTTACTAGTATTTGTACGACTGGAGGTATACCATCAATTCTGCACACCTCCTTTTCCATGTTTTTAAACAAAAAAATTAACAAAACCAGGCCAGACGAAACTGTGTGAATATTTGGTGTTGTTACTGATGTCTTGCACAGTGTATGGATTAAGAAGGGTCAATTGTGCTGACTTCTGGTGTTTTCTGCGCAACAGGTCATAAGCCAGTCGAGTGCACGATTCACGCCCAGTATAGCAATGATCAAGGTATGCTACAATTAAGAGCGCGGAGTATTTTGTGTTCGCCGTTCATTATGATCAAACTTTCCTTTTTCCACCCTCGTGATAACCGCTAAATGTCTTCCTTTACTCCTCGCTTGTTTCAGAAATGCATCGAAGCACTGATCGACAAACAGTATATTGAGAGACGGGAGGGGAGTAAGGACGAGTACACTTACATGGCATGACGGGAAAGCTGATCGATTACCAAGCTCTCAAACAGTCTGGAACTTGTTTGGATATCAAAGGGGCCCATTCTACCCCCTCGCATCGGACCGTTTATGAAGAACAGAGATAAAGACTAGGCCGAGAAGGAGATGTGCCGTAATTTTGTAGTGAAATAAGCTCGTGCTAATCTAAATGAATTGCGAACTGCATACAGTTTTAAGAGCTTCTGTGCTAAGTTTTCTGCGATGCAACACACAATTGTTAAATCGCTTTCTAACTGTGCGCTGACTTTAAAACTTGTGCGCGCGATGCCTCGTATTTATTGAAAATTTTTCCTCCGATATATTTTCGAGGTACATTAACTGAACGCGATTCTGAGCAATTGATGGGTAAGTTTCTTTTTTTCGCCGTTTTCATCGAATTTTTTTTTTTTTAGAACAATTTATTTGCCAAGGGCATTTTTTTTCTCCTGTAAACAAACATTTTCTTCTATAGACTTGTTTATTTGAATTTACAGCATTGTGACTTGGTATCTTTTTGTACATTAGTCTACTTGTAGAGTCTAAGAACTAGTGTTTGGGTTTCTTTGATAAATCCTCTTTTCCCTTGGAATGGTCAATTGTGAAGGTCATGTAGAGGACGTATCGTTCACCCTTCTTACCATAAAAGCAGCGGTCGAACGTTGGGCATGCGCGAGAGGATCCATTCTGGCCGGCCACGCGCAAATTTAGAAAAGGGCATATGAATGGAGTAGTATGCTCAACCCCTAAGCTTTCAGTAACCGACGTGCTGATGATCCTTTTAATCTTGAACAAATACAAGATCAAAGAAAGGACGAAACCTTTGAGGGGAAGATTGGTGGTTAGGGGTCCTTTTCAAAGTTAGTACTTTTTTAAGAAAAACGGCAAATTCCTTTTATATATATGAAAGAAATGATGCAGGGGACAATAAAAGACACCGGTCACATCACATTATCACAATAAAATTCTCTTTCGGAAGAGTTGAAAACTCATTTCACCGATGCACAGAAACTTCGACGTACTCTCGTCCACATCTGTCTTTGACAGCTGATTATGTTTAATTTTCGAGTGGCCCCGTGACCCCAATCAAAAACTGAAGGCGACAGTAAATCTTATATGGAGCAACAACAAAAAATGGGGATGAAACTCACATATCGTCCTTCAACCTTGACATTAATTAAAGTTACCATTCTGTTAAACCTTTTTTGAAAGAGTAGATTTCCTGAATGCGTTAATAAATGGGCAAGATGTCTGGCTAAGCTCTACCTTGTTGACCCCCCAGTTACATTTCAATTAAAAATTTGACCTCTGTAATGAGAAGGCAATTTTACTCTTCAACTCGTTTTCCATATGGTACATTTCGTTATTTTCTCTGAAATCAAAGAGGCGTAAACTACTATGATTGTGTTGCCGTACATTTTCCATTCGAATAACAGGTTAATTATTTAAATTACAGGAACCTGGACACGTGGGAATTTTCCATTTCGATTTCTAGTGTTCAGCGTCCTTATCTATTTCAAAGTTGATAAAAATGAGACAGACCGAATGTCTACAACATTCGTCACGGTGAAAAATTGCTGCATTGTTGTCTAATACTCACTTATTTCCATATCGGCAAAAATGTCGAGACGCGGTATCGAAACCCTAGTTTTGGCAGCAAGGATCGGAAAAGGAAGCAAAACTCAACATAAAGGTTTCAATTTCGTCCCAAGGCACAAATTTTGGTCGTAAACAAGCGGGTGCACTGATAAGGTTGATAATTTAATGGTTCTTTTCGAAGCTGTTTTACTATTGGCGACAAGTAGATCACGTGGTAGATTGGATTAATTACAGTAAAACGACTGTGCATTATAATAATTAGCGGGACCTTAACTGATCCAAAGGTAAACTTCTGCTACTGGTTAAGCTGGGTTTAAACGGACTTAAACAAATACCAAGGCTTAGAGTTATCTACTGCGATCCCCGTGAAAGAGAAGAAGAGTTTTTTTCTGGAATTACGCGGGATTTATAAGGAAACCACTGCTTCAAAATGGAAAGAACACGAAAAGTTTCTAATCACAAACCGCTCAGGTTGGTTGTTGTTTACATATTCATTAACTTATGAGTTGTGAAACTAATTAAGTTTTATTCGTAAACAAGGCCCAAATGCAATTTGGTCAGTTCCTTACACCTGACTTTGCGTAACGTTTCAATATTTGTTTTCTATTTGTCTTCAAAATGAATCGAATTTAAAAAACAGATATTTGGTAATTGTATGTAATGTTTTCCGTCAGGTTAGTGTAAAGAGAACATAAACGATACGCAAGTCGATGCGTTTCAAAGGTTTTCAGACCTCTGCAAAGTAACGATTATGCAAAAAATTGTTCGAGGATGGATTTTCTAAGCTTGCCCGAAGGTATATTTTCAAATCTCGGCACTTCTTTTGAGCAATATGAAGCGTTTGAGGATCAATTACCCTTGGGAGCAGTTTGTCTAGTGGATCAGTTCGGTTCCACCGCCTCATCAAGAAGACAACGAAAGGTGTTATTAGCATACTAAAAATTAGAGATCACTAATTAGAAAATACGCGCGTACGATTTTTACTCACGATTTGAGTACCATCAGAAGACGAACGAGTAAGCGCAGCGAACGAGTGAGCCTCAAAGCGCACGGAGGCTAGCGCGCCGTTTTGGTCGAATGTTGTTCCCTCCACTACGTTCTTCCATCACAAGTGGAATTTCGTTGCTGGCGTTTTTGATTGCACGAATGATACTTTTTCATATATTTTCAACCTAAATAAGACTGTTAAGTTTTAGGCAGAACAGTTTCAATCAACATTTGACAACAAAAAGTATCAACACTGTACTCGTTGTACTCAAGTTTCCTTAAAATTAGTGACAAGCAGTTTTCAGCAAGTTCTCAAAAGATTTATTGCTCCTCTTCTTGTTTGACACATCTTGTGCTTTCTGTCATTTACAAGAGAAAATGCATAACATGCGTTGTTAATTCAGGCCACTTGAATATTGGTGATAAAAACGAAGGACCAGAATTTGGATCCTGGTCGGTTCCTTGGGGGAAATGAGAAATCAGATTCTAAACTTCATCATCTTGCTCCGAAAAAAATATAATTAAAAACAGAGCAAAAGAGAAACTTCAATCAACTTAAGAAAGGGCATATATGGGTCTAAGGTGATTCTACATAGTTTGCTAACTGAGAAACGATTGTCTGAACAGACACATTGAAAAATAAGGCGAATAAAATTGCCATGTTTTTAAAAGTTTATAGGAGATATGAGAGCTTTTTGTGAACGAAATATCCCATTCTTAATTACAATAACTTTGCAATGAAAATTAAATTAAACTGAGGTACGAAACGCTGGTGTTAAACACACAAACCAAAGAAAAAAACACTACGTCACTTACAAAAATTCGCCAGCAACTAATTGTTTTGACGATCTCGAGAGAACTACTCAATTCAATTAACAATTTATAGGTGCTGAAGAGTGCTTTGGGATTTAATAATCTTCGCGAGAAGGTAATTAGCATATGAAAGACAAGATCAGTACAATGAACAAAACTTCGTTAATAACAGTGCCATTAGGCGCAAGTAAAAATTATTCTAGAGACCATGTTTTTACAGGGAGAGAAGACGCATATTCGATTGTTTTCAAGAAAACAAATCGAAAATTGAACGTGAGTACATACAGTGTAGTCCTGATGAAATCTGTAATATTTTTGATAGCGTGTAAACGCAGAGGAACATTTTCTTCGTAAAATTAATGAGATATTCAGATCAAAACATCTAGTTGTTTGTGCAGGTAAAACACACGTCCAGTTATCTGTTTATCTGAGATTCGAAGTCGATATAATTTTTTCTACATCCATTTTTCTGGTCCAAGTTCCACGCAAATATACCTTGTTGTCGACACAACCAATATCGATGGTCCCTGTAAAATTACGACCTGGTCCAACAATAACCATTTACGTTTTCCCACTAAAGTTGTTTTTACACTAAAGCGGTCACTCGCTTGTTTTTACCCTCGAGCAGGAATTTGTACTCAAAGGGTTTTTTTTTAATTTGAAAGAATGCAGTATTTTGGTAAAAATGTTGTCTTATAGGCCTTTGAACCGTCGCAGATATAGTACAGGTAAAACATTGTTAATCAAATTAGATCCTCTTTTGATTGGTAAAATAACAAAAATTCAGAGCGAAATATTTCGAATGATCTTGATTTCTGTTTTGTGATGTATGTTGTTAGTGAAATTATCATCATGAAGAGCGATTCGTTTTCTCTACGTCTCGGTTTTGAAAAATCTAATTAATATGAAATTACGGCTTGAAAGCAAAACTAGATACTCCAGAAATTTTATCACTTTTCATTTATGTTGAATGACCAATGCTGTGATAAATTTCTTCGAAATACAAACGTTTGAACGCGATCCTAGTTCGCGTATGTTGCTTTGCACTATTTGCTACCGACTCAGCTTGCGCTGTTTATTGTTTTCCTGAACCTACAGAAATGGACTCTATTGTTTAGGTAATTTTCTTTAATCCTGGGCCTTTTTTCTTACATCCTAGGGGTCTATTCTCAAACAAAAGTTATGAATGTCAAAAATTAAAATTTCTGCTTTCCCGCTGTTAGTATTGACCAGAGAGTTTTTTTTTCGTCAAAGCAAGAATAAACTTATTGTAATCGACCTCTGTAAAGAATAAAACAGATAATGCAAATGTTTTGGAATTGATAGAATGATATGATATAACCCAGAGTGAACCATGGGCCTCTCGTGGTCAGTTCAGTTTTCGCTGAAAAATGCAATAAAACATAAATAATTGCTAAGTTACGAATAATGACCAAGGTTAGTCAGCGACGCTTCCGCAAAATAAATCAACCGCGTGAAGAAATTTAGCTTCTAGAACGAATTTAATCAACCACGATTACATATTTGTTTCTTGAAGAAAATTATCTGGAAAAATGTCTATTGGTAAATTTTAACTCCACTAACAGTTTTTAAAAACGCGACAAATCAAAGTAAAAACACTCTACCATTAAATTAGCCTTTCATTTGCTAATTACATAAAAATCATTCGCTGACTGACATAACTGCTTTCCTCAAGAGGAACATTGTTCATTTGACGTTGTAAATCGATTATCTAAAGGATGTTTTGTTCTTCTTAAAATAAACCATTTGTTTCGGCAAGTCTTTGTGAACGGGAAGTAATTCCGATTAATTAAATTGTATACAAAACTGAGGTTTCTACCCCTAGGGCACATTTTTGGAACATCTCGTGTATTTTATAGAAGACCAACTATTATTTAAGATTTTTCGCCTTATCAAAACTGTCAGCAGCGCAGATCTAGAAACCCATTCCAAAAACTTTGAAATGTTTTGGACACTTGTTAATAAATTTCAGTCCTTGTTTTACGAGAAACCCCCGGGTCATCGTCAGGAACTTAGGTTATTTCATTAGCCGTAACGATTATTTCTAAGTTTAAATTAGGAAAGAAACTTCCCACTTCCAAAAACTGAAGTTTGGATTTTTCATGACTTGTTCTTTGATCCAAGGAAATTTTAGATTTGTGGAACAAATCTGCCATATATATATATATACAAAACATGAGTCGCTGAAGTAACTGAATGAATTGACCTTGAACTAACTAATACAACCAACTTTTGGGGGAGTCGGCTCTAAAACGCTCGCTTAAGCAAGAGGAACTGAGACTCTTGCTCTGGATTTCGTTCTTTATTCAACTAAATTCTCAACAGTTCAACTGTTTGTTTCAACCCAAACAAGAACATCACAAGCAAAACCCAAACAGGAAGTACGTTGTTCCTGTTGTTCATCGCAAAGATACTAAATATTTTTTTATCAATCTGATAAAGCTATAGAGGTTGAAAGTTAGGCAGCTGGACATAAATCACTTATCAGGAAACACAACACGGGGGCTAGATCTACCACCCGGATAACTAACTTTAAAGCAGAACTCATAATTTCGAGTTCCGACACAACGTCCTTTCCAATCCTCCCCCGTGGGATTTTGGGAATGGGGGATCATTCGAACATAACCCTATCTTTTCTCAGATTGTTTCGAGCTTTGTTTGCACTATTTACTGAGAGCAACTTCGTCATTCAAGGCTGAACAGCTCAAGGTCTCTCGCCAAGCATGTGAAATTGGTCGGCAGGGGTGAATAACTTAAGATCCTAATTTTTGATATCGATAGCTTTGGAGTAACGCTCGAGACATGTGAGTTATCGGGTCTAACACGATCAGATATTGTGGGACGTAAGAAAACACGCCAAAAGGGTGTTTCGATCGCGATCGATACCTTCAGCACTTTCTAAAAATATGCCATTTTGGTGTGTTTACAAGTGGTTAAAAAATTGAGCGACGTAGGTTTTTTTTTTCGGGCTAGATGACTGCTGGATGACATGACCGTAAATCGTTTCAAACACCTTCATCTGTTCATATTTCGTTGCATTCGTCGATCTCAGATGCTAGTACAACTGTTAACGTTTCTACGTTCCCAACCATAAGTGTGCTTAGATGAGATGAAGGATATGGAAGTAGGCGAAGCGTTTGAAGCGCTAAATTCAGCGTCAATTAAGTTTTCATTTGTTGAGTTGAAAGGGCTGGGTCTCCAAACCCCTTTGAATGGTTTATAGCCACAGGAAGAAGCTAAGAGTGTTGCTACCCCACTCCCCCCTGGATGTGATGCCAGTCAATCCAAATTTACCCCCTCCCCGAGCAGTTCATCACGGTTCCTTGACAATTCGTTACTACCCATTTATACTCCTGGCCATGTGTGGAGAGGGGCACTGTGAGTGTAAAGTGTTTTTCCTGAGAACACAAAACAATTATCGTATTTGTTGACTCTTGGTTGATCAATTTATGAGTCCTTATGACATGTTAGTACACGGAACGCAAAGCTATTAAAATTCTAATGAAGGATAAATGCTGTCTTTTTTCTCAAAGACGGGTCGTTAATTAGTCCCGTTTCTATGGTCTTCGTTGAAAATAATATGCGCGGTTTAGTTCACCAGCTGTTTGGTAAAGCTACACCATTGCTTTGGTTGATAGCTGTAACACCCAGGTGCAAAGAGCATGAAGTCTATTTTTGGCAGCAATAAAGCGCAAATCGTTTGTTGTTAGGCCAAAGAATGTTTGTTTAAACGCCCTTGCACAGGTTTCGTGAGCAAAATCAACCTGGCTGTTTTCAAAACATGTCAGCTTGTCACAAGCACGAAGCAATTCTCTTTCTGTCTTGAGTTTCTTTTGTGTGTGCGTAGTCTCCCTGTTGACACAGCTAATGCATGGCAAAGAAATATACACGCCTGAGATGACGTCAACTGTAATGAACATAAGAAAACCATGCGCACTGCACAAGCGCCTTAATTACGGGGGCCGCAAATTTTGAGGAAGGAAAATCCCTTGGTGAGGCTGAGGAAGCTGATTAACCGCGTGCACGGTCGAAGGAACCTATAGAGATAAATTCAGACTTCTTGTCAAGTGAAGTTTAGGAGAGAGATTTCGTTACACAAGCGTGAATCAGCGAAGGTACGTTACTCGCGCGCGGGATCTGTGTGTGGAACAGAGGGTTTTTTTTAGATGTTCGCCAGTGTTTGCATACGTTATGCATTCCTTCGGAACTAAACCGAAATAAGGGCAAAAGGCTCTAGGTAAACTCCATTAAGGCTATTTCCAAAGAACTGTCATGTGTTACGAGTCATAAAAAAACGCCGCTTGTCGGGAAAAATTGCTGTTTCAAGGTCGCTCCAGAAACTCTCACTAAAACGACCATTTTAAAACGTTTTCTTCCCTGTATTCTCGGAAGGGAATGTTTTTATTTGCATACTTCAGCTAGAGTAAACTGTGTTTCTATCGTGGCATTCCGTTGTTTAGTACAAAATCATCGAAGTTTCCGGACAATAAAATCATAATTGCTCGAGAGAAGACAATTCCATTTGCCTCAAAATCATTTACCACGGAACTACTTCGAATTTGAAAGTAAAGTCTTGTGAACAGTGGAAATTATAAATACAAATCTACTCAGAGTTTCTTTCATATATTTATGCATTCTACTTATCGGTTTTCCAGCCCCAAGTATTCTCTTTTCCAGTACTAGTCAGCTAATACAGAAATTCAATTACTTTACATAATGCGCTTATAATTACATTTGTTAAAGTTTTGTAAGAGGCCAGTTGAATTCACACAATAAGTATTTATCACGCTGTTGTAGCTTACTTATTTTGCATAACTGCACTTCGCTCGTTGACATCAATGTTTATCGCGATGCCTTGCAAATCGCAAATGATAAATAATGAATCAAGATTTGGCGCTCGAAGATAACTTTTTCAAGCGAGACATTGCGTTGAATGATAAGAAGTTCATTGCGCCAAAGCGATGAAGGTAAAGTTGCCTTTAATTCAGCAAACTTTTTCAAAACTTCTTTCAATTAATAGTGCAACTTTACAAACTAATTACTTTTGTTTATGTAATAACGATTCGTTTCGGGCCATAAAACTCTCATAAAGTCAGTTTTAAGGCGATGTCATGCCGGGATAATGTCATCCTGACTTTGTGGTTGGCAAATAACCTCGTTATTTTATCTTATGATAATATTCATTAATGGGATCATGAAAGAATTCTGTAAACGTTTCTATTTTGGGTTCAGAATTAGTCAATGACAGAGGAGGAAAATTTGAGAATGGAACAGATACCTTTGAAATCTATCATTTTTCTTTGTTCTTGCGCTTCGTTTTGATGAAACAGAAAAATTCCTCCTTTTCTTCGTCACAGATAAGCTAATCTTTCACAGAACATTTGCGATAAATAATACGCTCTACTGAGACTTCAATTGATATAAAATATAAGGTTTAACCGCAATTGGCAAACTTCACTAACGGTTTTTCCTGCTATGACATAAGTACTTATTTCTGTTCTTCTTCACCCCTTTGTCTGTTATTCAGCTAATATGTTTATCAGTGACAAGAGGAATCACTAAAAAAAACACTTCTTGCAAGTTACATGCTTTTGCTTCTCGCCTAAAAGGCACCGAAAATTCCTACCATCATTTGATTACCACCTCGTACCATCAAAGTATTAAAAAAAAATAATACCGTTTTATAATGATTTACGATTCTGCAAATGTTTATTACAACTTTAAAAGCGTACGTAATGATTTACTAAATGCCTTTGACAGGAATTCATTCACGGAGAGACCATGCAGTAAAGCGTTATCAAGGAGTTTATGAAACGATGATTGCGGCGCCGTGGAAAACGTCGGTTTAGAAAACGAACTTATATTTTACCTACGAATCTCGCGATACTCTTAAGTCATTTAGTTTGTTTTTCACTGTTCAAAATATCTCGAAACTGAACATGAAACTCAGCGTTAAATTAGAAATAGAAATTTAAAAAACTAGTCGTCTTCGTTCACGTTCTCCAGACAACGCAAAGTTTGGTCATTGCACGTTGTTGTTTTGCAGAAAGCGCAAAGAAATTTACAAAGATTTATAACACACGTGCACAGCCCTTGTTCTGCTCATTAAGCCCGTTGCCGTTGCCGTTGCCGTTGCCGTTGCCGTCGTGGTTTTCCTAAACTATCTATTGACTATAACGTGTCTACATGTTTGCTGCCGAAAAGCACAACACCTGATTTCCGCTAAGAGACCCAAACTATTTCCACTGACTTACAGGCCACCCATGTTGCAGTTATCATTTAAGTACTACGAGTTTAATGGCAATTTTAGTGAAAGATTAAGGCTCTGATTTGCAAATTTGGCCTCTAAGATCTCCTTAAGTCTTTTCTGCACTCCCTAATATAGCTAAATATGATTTTATAACACATTTCTGATTATTTATTACTGTTTCAACCTGAGAGTTTCAGAAAATGCTGTTTTGAGTCAAAACATCTTGCTTTTTTCATCAGGATTTGAAGAGGATTATCTCAATGATTGTTGTTTTCTTTCGTTAAAGAACGAACAAGCAAAATTAACATGAGCTGTTCACTTTTGACAAAATGAAAATTCAGGTGTTAGCTCTTTTGTATCAATCTCCGAAGTCCTCTCGAAAATTTTTTTTATTTTCTTTGGGAGATCAAAATCCAAATGGAAGATTTATTGCCCTGGAAAAAAAATATGCAAACTTGATCGAAACGTTTCCAACACCCACCGTAATCATCTACATATGTCAAGTATTGCCGGGAAATTTCCGCTGAAGGTGAAAAATGAGAAAAGAAATGTTGCAAGGCAGTCCACTGAAACAAACAGCTGAAGCGATATTTGTATTCTCTGCGTCAATTATAGAAAGTTCTCTTAATTTCTTAACCTTGAAGGTGATTAGGATCTCCATCTGCCATTCCGTCTATTCTAAGATCCGCCACAGTCGTAAGAGGCACGATTTCAGCCTCGGGATATTTGAGACAGAGCACCAGTCACTATTTTTGTCCATAGCGCGTGAATAACGTCAATGGTTTACGGCACATTAGTTGCTTATCACTTAAAGCCTTATCAACTTTCTAATGACATTAAAAGGGCATGTCTAGGTCTTTGATAAATGGATTTTTTTCAAAACATTTTAACGGAATTAATCCATTTTTATCCGTTCAAATTGCTAAAAATGTATCATTTGTCTCAAACTGGCTTGTTAAGCACCTTGAGAAAAAATTTAAGAGATATTCAAAGTAGCCTATTATTTAAGTAAACTGATCATTATAAAATGAAGGGTTTAGACTCTTAGGAAAAAGTGCTCTTTGCTGCAGTGCACACGGACGTCTAGTACAAGAATCTGTTCGTTAGAGTTGCGGCATAAAATGGTGTAAAGTTGGAACTGAATTGTGTTCTGTAGTCCCTTACATTTAAAAAGTTCTCTTGAAAAAGATCTGGGAAGTTTTCGTGGTCTGTCCAATTTGTTGTATTGTGGGAACGCACCTTTTAATAAAGTGAGTAATAATTTGAGTTGGTTCGCGTAACGAGGGGCACAGAGAGCCAGGATTAAAGTCTTTATAGAATGAACGAGAAGCAATGTTGAATACCCATTTATACGTCACACAAGCGGAAGGCTGACGCTCTCGCCACTGCGACATTCCTGTTCCCCATTACTGTGATCACGGATGGTCACGGAACCCTTAATAGGATCTACGTTTTTGTGGAACAAATCGAGTTCTATCAAAATGTCATATGATCTAGGCAAACATACTGTATTCGACGGCCTTGCATGGTTTGGATTGTCATCATAATGAGGAAAAGGGTGAAGGATTCAGTCGCGATTTGAATTACCAATAAAATATTGAGCTATACGCAGTTTGGGCCAACTACAACCGCTATCGCAGATCTTGAAAGTGACATTTGTATTCTAAAGGGTTCAGATTGTTCGTATATCTGCTTAGATAACTAATGTATTCCACGTAATTATGATTTTGTTATCTGTCGGGCTAACGAGATGTTTTATTTCTTGTTTGTGTGCCTGTTAGTGCCGTAAAAATTCGAGACATTTTACATGTTCGAATGCCTCACGACCGGGTGTGTTCTTGCTCAGAGGCTTTGGCGGCGCAACATTTAGCATTTTTCGAGATTATAGTTCTTAAAATTGACGCAATGAATTTATCGTCTATTTTTATCGTTGAATTGTACGGCTTAGTAAAAGCCTATCGCGAAGACCCTTTATATCAAGAGTCCTAATCGATTCTGTCAGCTCTATTGAGAAATGGCATCTCGCTGATTAATATTTGAAACGAAGGTAACCAAACGAACTTAGCTTTTCTTTTCTAGTTTCGAAACAAAATAAGAAACAAAACTGTCGACCTGTTGACAAAAGATATCGTGATTAGATTAGCCCCTTCTTTTTGTGGTTCATAGGTGCATTGCACTTGAAATTCCACTCATTTTACAGACCGCATACTTTCGGACACTCGAATCTTCGCACGCGATCTGCATTTTCAATTAAGTGTATTTTTGTAAAAGTTCATGAAGTTAAGCAGCGTAAAAGAGGGCGGGTCAAGACAGTGGAGTTGTTCTTATCTTGTTATTGGCGTGAGATATGCTTTCGTGGAGTATTATGAGTATAATATATTTTCATTCAGTTGAAATAGGCGACTTGATGTTGTTATCGTAGGTTTAAAAGTACTCTGGTTCATCATGACAAAGACTGCTTCCCTGATGTAGTGCGTAGTAGTGTAATAAATGCGTAGGGAGAGGTCACTTACCGTTCATTCTAGTTTTTGGATCTGATTCATTAGGAAGTTGAAACGCGAGTAAAAACATGGGTGAACAGGTTTGGCCATAAACTGTGTCGAGTGATGAAAACCGGGCACTGATTTGAAAGATTATATAAGCCCAAATAATGAGAAATTAGACGGATGGTTTATCAAGAAATCAATTGGAGTTCATTGTGAACTAATTGCCCTAAGTCTTTACTAATTTTCGCTTTTCATTTCTTTTTTTGTGACATAGCGTGTACAAGATGGAGAGGAAACGAAAAAACAGAACAGGTATAAATAACAATTAAGCACATGTACTTCTCATCTTTGTGATTACTACGGCAAAATATGCTTATCAAGATAAGGTCTGATGCTTCACGATAATCCCTGACTGGGGTACAAGGGTCGAATCGTGGCTGGCACACGAAATGCTTCCGGTGAAATAAATTCCTCTTAATTACAAGTTAGACTTACATTTCAGTTCTTGTGCGAAAGATACTGAATGGAAATATGGCGTTGAAATCTCCGGGAGTGACCACCCTTGGTTCTGAAAGCAATACCTTTCGTAAAGAGTATGTCTTTACTTGCCATACCTCAAGCGTTTCTAAGCCTTTTTATCGCATTTCATGTACAGTTGCAGATATGAATGCCATAAACATGAAAACAGCAGAAGAAAAACCCAAACAGGAAGACGAAGAGGACGAGGAAGAGGAATTCGTCAAATATGGTGCAGTGGATGAGTTTTACGATTTGGAGAAAGAAATCGGCAAGTAAGTGCGCGCCATTTGGTTTTAATTGTAACATGACGAAACGATGAATCTCTGCCAAAGGCTTCTTACTGTAATTTGATGGTATTAAACAATTACTCTGCGATGGCTTGCAAGCCGTGGTATCGAAAAATGATTCTTGATTGAAAAAGGAAGATATTAGCCCTCTTCGAGTTTCGCGTTTCATGAGGCAGAAATGAGTATTCCCCTGTCCCGGGGAAAAATTCGCCTTTGCGCGGGATGTTTATAGCGTCATGGCAGTACATCAGTTAGTTTACCGTCCCTAATAAGTAATGACTTCCCGGTTTTTATATTGGCGGCTTTATGTCCAATGACGAAAAAAATTCTCTATGAGCCGATATGTTGGAGATATGTCACAATCAGTCAAAAGATTTTTCTAGGAATCTGTCTCGAATTTTGTATCGACGACGAGGAGTTGATGTTACCCACAGTAATCTGTTGCGCGAGTGATAAGGGATAAATGAAAAGATGTCCCAATTTCGCGTGCACAGTATTCGCTTCCCATAATTCACGCGGCGCCGGTTTTTATTTTTGGCGATGTCTGTTAGCTCGTGTAACGGATGTTGCTGAGAGGGAGAAGAAGAAAGAGAAAGACGCCGGTTGTGCGTAGAGGGAGCGCTGCACTGAAATCAGGACGGAACCATTTGCAACAAAAAACCAGGGGGTTTTCAATAAAAGCCGCAGTTACCGGCAGTGTATCGTCGCCGACAAGACCTCAGACCGCCTTATGTTTAGCTTATGGGCAGGCTCTCACAATTGGGTTTCGTCATGCGGCCCTTTTCCAATTAAACCATCAATTAAGCCGCCGATTAAACCATCGGCATTCGCTTATGGAAAAGGGGTTTTTGAAACCCCCGAAAACATCCTATTTTTTGAAGGAGCGGTCGTTGACAGGAGACTGAATTCCCCGAAAATAGCTCGTTAGGAGGGGATTTTTCTCGCTGCGGGATTAACTTTGATGTGACTTAGGAATGCGTTTTTAGAACTAAGAAAATTTCTTCTTCAGCGTTATACGAACTCACTTGACAATATTTGTTAGAAGACCAGTGTTATAGTGAAACCCAAGGCTTGAAAGTACGGTTTCGCTTTTAAGGAAGCCTCGGCTAAACTTCGTGCAAATAACCGACCCTGGATGGTTGCTAATAGCTTTCAAGATACCGAAACACTAAAAAAGCTTAAGAAGGAAATATCACCCTTAGAAACCTAACGGATTTCTAATCCACTGTTGTTTAAATAAGATAAAATATCCAACTCAGGGATAAGTAAACTGTTTTGCTGATCGAAGGCTTACCAAAAATGCGTAAATTTTAGTAAAGTTTATTAACCTCTTACCATTTCAAATACGTATCCTCTGTATTGAATTCAGAAGAGGGTTTGCCAATCTTGCGTCTGGCAATGGTCCCAGTTTATTCCAACAGGATTTAATAAAATAAAAGATTCCATGTTGCGGTGCGTTTGTTCTGTAATAGACCACAGATGACGTCAATATGTGGTAGGAGCAAAATAGTGGCCCACGAGGTGCAGCCGAGTGTGTCTCTGATGCGTTAGCCACATTTTGACGGCCTCTGTGATCTATTACTGTTCAGATCCACGGCAACATGGAATCTATTCGTTTTAAATGACAAAAAACAAAACAAAATGTTGCTACTGGTTAAGTCATCTATACGTCTGTCCTCCAATAGATCATAAGAAAGAACCAATCAAAATGCAGGTCTAATTTAGCTTATCATATAATCAGTTATAGATCTGAGCTGATGCCTAATTATGATAGGAAAAGAAAAAGTAGCGCAGAAGCCGCAGGCGACTCTGATGATCTTACTTTCCTTAGATGAGCTCGACTCGAACATTTTTCCCTGGTATGTTCAGCTGCGCGAGACACTTTTCTTGAAGAACTCCTGTACGATTTTTTTCAATCAAGATTTTTGTGGCCTTTATGAGATCATCTCGTAAACTCCTTTTATAACTGCTGGTCGGAAAGCAAGAAGATAACAATATTTCTTTGACGTCAGCCGTTCGTCTGTATTAAATCAGATAGATTATAGGCCACGGCCAATCATTGAATGCACAGAATTTAGTTTCTTTCAGTGGTTATGCTAAACCTGAGAGTGAAAACTAATCATTTTTTAAGGTCGGTACATAGTAGCCTACGTCTAGCCACTCGTACCAGACTCCTAGAAATCTCTCCTCTTCGGCGAAGTCCATCGCGGGCGGTTAAAAAATATTAGTGAAAAAGAAAATTAATGTCAGTGCTCTGCAGGGAACTCTGGGAGTGAGGCGGACGAAAAATAGAATCAACAGACTAAGCCAGAGGGTTTGACTTTTGCCTCGCACTTTTAAAGCAAAACATGATTTGTTCAAGGCCAGAAAACCTGTCAACAGAATGTCAATACTCGAGTTCAATTACCGTTCCGCGTGGCGCGTTAATATCATTTTTTTTTTCACTGTTTATTTTTGGACTCGTATAACGGACTTCGCCGAAAAGCAAGGCGCGGTTTACATTCCTACTCACGACCTATGATGTTTTTCTTTTTTTCCTTTTTAGAGGTGCCTATGGAACAGTGAAGAGGTGTACTCATAAGACCAAAAGAAACAATTATGCGGCTAAAATAATCAAGACAGCGAATAGCACCGTCAGGAAGACCGTGTTGCGAGAGATTGAAGTGATGCGAGCCCTTGGAACACATAACAAACTTGTTGAACTTGTAGATGCTTACCAGACTCCATTTGAAATCGTGATGGTCCTTGAGCTGTGAGTTTAGATTTAAATCCTTCTTGTAATATTCTCTAAAACGCTTGGTCAGCTTCTCTATGCAAATAGAAAGCCTCGAGGCTACAATTTACCCGATGCATTTCTGCAGGTTTGTCTAAGACTTAGCCGCCGAGTCATTTCTCGGTAGGGCTTGTAGGAAATTTGTAGGAAGTCTTTGACGACTTTATCTTCATCTTTGTGAATTTGTTGTAGCGTGGAAGGAGGTGAATTGTTTGAGCGAATCGTTGCTGAAGAGTATCTGATGGAGGAAGATGCCGTGGACTATGTCAAGCAAATCCTTGAAGCTTTACAGTTCATGCATGAAAGGCATGTTGTTCATCTGGATCTAAAGGTGATGAGCTGGACCTTATTGTTCTTTTCAATCCATCGAAAACTCATAAGAATTTTCTCTATTGCTTAGGGTTGGGGTCATATATACAAAAAGGATGTCTACAGGAATTACTCGACTTCTGGCCTCATTTATCGTGACATTTTCCTGCATGGAGAAGAAGAAACGTCCCCGGGTGGGTTTGAACCACCAACCTTTCGGTTAACAGCCGAACGCGCTGACCGATTGCGCCACGGAGACTGCTTCAAGGCAAAATGTTTGTCATTCTAATCATGTTTACTATCGTTCCTTCCCTTTCATTAGCCAGAGAATATTCTGTGTGTGAGTATGCATTCAAATGACATCAAGCTGGTTGACTTCGGACTCGCCAGGAGTCTAGATTCCGAAGAAGAAGTTAAATCTTCCTTTGGTACTCCGGACTTTGTTGGTAAGATTCGTTTTGAAAAAAACTCCCGATAACATCAGCTCGTGAAATCCTTGCCGATGATTTCTCTGTAAAACCATTCAGTAAAAAATTAAATATACGCAGCGAATGTCTATGCACTTGCTATGCACTTGCTATGCACTTCCCTTTAACTTGCAGGAACAAAGTAACTTCCCAACTTTCTGCAGGGCCTTATTACTATATTGCTAGACAAATTAATGAGAGTTTAGGAACAATAATTATTGAAAATAAGTTATTACGATTTCATATTGCAAAAAAGAAGAGTTAAGACTTTCGGTCGGCTATACGAACAAAGTTCGGCCGTTGTTTAGCAAAGTCCATAGACATACTCCTTTTACAAAACCTTTAACTGAAAACAAATACAATTAGTTACCTTCAAAAACCTACTTGTAAAGAAAAAACTACGAACTAAAGAAGACCTTTGTTTAAACAGCGGGTATCCATCTCTCGTCAGATCATAATAAATCACAAAAAGCTGCAAATTCGTCCCCGGGTGGGCTTGAACCACCAACCTTTCGGTTAACAGCCGAACGCGCTAACCGATTGCGCCACGGAGACGGAATTCGAAAGTTCGAAAAGATTTTCTGTTTGTTTTTATTCCTAGCTCCAGAAGTAATACGGATGAAGCCAGTGTCAACTGCTAGTGATTTGTGGTGAGATTTTCAGTTGTTTAGACCTTTGAAATTCGAAAAAATGGTAGATAATTTGTTGCTCTTTGCTAATGTCTTAATATTTCATATCCGTGAAACTTGGATTTTTTATTCCTTTTCATTGTTTTTTTCAGGAGTCTGGGTGTTGTGACTTATGTCCTGTAAGTATACAACAGCGCGAACCTCATTCTTTTTAACTAATTCCCAGAAGTATTTAATATGTAAATTCTCCCTAAATTATCAGCACATACACACAGGGGATGAGAATAGACAAGATTCGCGCAATCAGATTGGTCGAGGATTACGTCATATCTCGCTTAAGTATAAATCTGCTTTCATTCTAGCACAAATGCTGCAATATGATTGGCTTTGTACCCGCTACCTATTCCGTGATAGATATCAAGTAGAGTTGTTAGAATAATTGTGGGCGATTTTGAGTAAAATGACTCTAAAAAAATGAATCTGTCTGGTTGATAAGTTTTTAAAGACCAGTAGATACTTAAACAATTAAATCATTATCTCTCAAGCTTCTCTCTCGTCAAATGTCACGCGATTCGCAGTTCAGTGTCAGAATAATCCTGAATTGCATTGGTTTTGCTTCGCTTCGATCTTTGATTGGTCCAGAACAAATCAGATATAAAATCAGAAACCAATCGCGACTTGATCACTCGCGTTTTCCCACTCAGTCATTAGTGATTGCTCTCCACTTTGAGTTCTCGTTGATTCCTTGAGATGTTTTCCTTTCCTTTGATTGGCCATCATGATTACTTTGGTTTCTCTCAGCTAATTTTCAAATGCGAATCAATTAGAGGGGAAGACTGTGCATTGTATTCAGGTAGATGATGACGACGAAAGATCGTCATCACATGGCCAGGGACAACATACTTTTGAACAAACTCTGATGTCATTCTTTGGCTTTTTCCTTCAGATTAAGTGGCTTGATGCCATTTTCTGGAGACGACGACCATCAGACTCTTGTGAAAGTAGCTAAGGCTGATTGGGATTTTGATGACGAATGTTTTGATGATTTGTCCCACGATGCAATGGAATTTATTGAGGGTCTCCTTGTTAAGGAACCAAGGTAATCATTAACTTCAATCTCAGTTGTTTTTTTTATAATGTTTGACTCGACGAGCGGGTAAGCTCGAGCGAAGGCTTTGTTGTTATCAGTACACCTGTTGATGGGTGCTTGGTTTGATCACGCAAAATCGTTGTATTTGGATAACATGAGTTATAACAGACCTGCAGTTGGTTAAGAAATAAAGAAATAAACTAAAGCCTTTTTTCGTCAATTTACTTTCCAAGAGAGCGACATTTTTTTATTTACTCTTTTTGAGATCCTTGTTTATAACCATGTTTTTTGTGTACATGAAAAAAGGACGTAGCCAATATAAAGTAATACGTGTTTATCGTAACGATATTTAATACTGTTACATCTCTATTTCCGTGCGATTGTCATAGTTTGATCACACTCAATGTTGGCATTGCATTTTATTGTCCCCGTAATGACTGCTAAATGTGAGAAACAATCTTGCCCCTAAACCTTTGACAGCCGGGATAGTACGAACAAACCCAGTGTTATAAAATTCACCATTTTTTCATCACGAGGCAAAGTTTTGAGAACATGAGCTCAAGACTCCGACGTAGTAAGGCGAGGAAAGTTAACCAGCGAATTTTCACACAATAAATAGTTTATTTACAGATGTCAATTTTTTTCATGTTATGTGAAATCTTGAAATTATTTCCAGCGAGAGGTTAACAATAGAAGAATGTTTCCAGCACCCGTGGATAAAGGTATGAGTAACCAAGAGAGAACCTGTCCTTACTATATCGATACAATATAAAACAGACAAGTGATGAGAATATAAAAAGACTAAGAGATTATTACTTGATCCAATACCAAATTCTCTGAGCTAACATGATAAGAAGTTTATGGCGGAAATAAAGGAGAATTAGTAAAGATATATTGGGAGTGAAAGGATTTAAAAAGAGATACCTTTCGGGAGAGAAAGTTTTCATTTTCGTTTGGATATGGGCAAGGTCACGTAGCGAGACAAGAGTTTCTCACCATAGCATATCACAGGTGTTCAGAGAAATTTTAAATTGAGTGTCAAAGTCATCTAAGATTGCATTAGTTTTACTTAGCTGTGCTCTAAGATTGGCGAAAAAAATTATCACGATCCTTTCGACCAATCAGATTCAAAACTGGCCTCAAGCGCGACTTGGTTATCCTCTTCTTCCCAGCGCCAAAGGCAGCTCGAGCTCTCATTGGCTCTTCGTGAAGTAAACCTGTGTTCTGATTGGCTGTTGTGATTACTTTGATCTCTGTCTTACGACACTCAATCGAAAATCACTCTATCTATGTTAAGCTTCGGAATCATCAACGATTCTTATTCTTTCATGTTTTCACGTTATTTCAGGATACCCATGACACAGGAACAAAGATAAACACACAAAACCACAAGGCGTTCATGGCAAAGAGAAGATGGAAGGTAGGTTTAATGTCTAAAATTTCAATTAGAGCGGGTCCTATTTCATGGCTATTCTCGCTATGTTCACAATTGAGTAACAGATGAGTGTTGATGACATTAAGTACCTTATCACTTAGTTCTGTCAGAACTTGTGGATTTTAGACATCAAACACTTGCTTGCTTGTTGGCACGATAACGTTTATTTCCCAACGGAAGATTTATTTCGAAGGTTTTATAAAGTGGTAGTTTCTTAATTTCTTTTTTTTCAAACTGAAGAAGCAAGGTTATAAAAACAATTTCAATCGAGAAATCACAATCTAGTTTAACATACAACCTGAGCCAGGCTTTTGGTTCATAAAAAGATCGAAAAAAAGCCTGCGAAGAACAGCAGGAGTCTGGTAAATAACATTCTTTCTCTGGACCTCCGTAGTTCTTTGTATGCTCGTTCAAATCGGTTTTGTCACGCAAAACGTGGTTTAGTTAAATAATCAAATATTTGCCCCTGAAGGAAATGTTAGATAAAAATGTTTTTAAATTTTAAGAGAGTCGACTGGACAGTCAAGCACTTGGTGTTGGACGGAAATGTTTAGCCAGGGCCTAAGAAGAATTTGTAATTATGATGAACTTATTTCTAAAACTCTATTTTCAGAAATCCGTAAATGCGCTTTTGGCTGTTCGTCGCATGTCTTTGTCTCCCTTATTCGGCTCCAAAAGAAGACGCTCCATGGATCCCAGCATATTATCTGCGGCTTCTGAGAGCGAGGAAGACCAGCATAATGAAGCGGACAGAAAAGTTTCCGCGCCAATTGATCCGTCAGGACTAACTCTCCCAAACCGTCGCGTTGGGGAGACGCGCAACTCTTGTTTTAATCTGGATATGGCAACCATAAAAGCCTTGCAGGAAAAAGCTGTCAAGGCCACTGGAAAGGCATCGCAGTCGGACGAAAATGACAATGAGGACGGTGAAAGTGGTACTGTTGAAAGTATAGAAAGCTTAGAATTGAGTGCGACTTGTTCGGAAGAACAGGAGAATGAAGGAAACACAGTAGAAAGAGACAATAGTGTTAATGAGGAGATTTCAACTTTGCCAAGACGTAGAGCACACACTTTTTGTGGAGCCACCTTCAAGGCGAAGCCTGCAGCTGCTTCTCGCGAGAGGAAAATTTCGCAGATATCAATTAACGTAGGGAATTCGTCTAAAAATGACTTCAAGCCGGTTTCTTTTACTTTCAATACAGAGGACATGAAAAGGAATGAAAGGGTTATTTTGGAATCCGCTGCTATTTTAAACGCGCGGCCGAAAGTACAGGCGTTCCAACAAGATTCCACCACGAATGATGGAAGCGTAAAAGCCGGAAATTCGATGGACGTGTCAGTTTTAACCACGCCTGGAGGTCAATTTGACAAAAGTAGTCTAAAACCACAAACAATAACTTTAGAAATGGATAATTCAATTCTAACCGAAGGGCTTACGGAACCGCCCGACAACAAAGCTGACGAACTACCGACGATTTGCGTCAACGACGAACTTTACGTATCCGATCCTCCTCCAATTAAATTGGCTTTGAATAACAATATCGAAAAAAAGGACCAAGAAAGACGGGCCTCGACGCCTCCTCCTTCCCTTAAAACTAATTCTGTCGTAAGTATTGCAAATGTAGATAAAATTGCTGATAGCGTCCAGGCCATCACGGTCCAGCTTGGAAATTTGAATGGGTTGCAATTGAACTCGAAAGAGGTCACGTGTAGTGTACGACGAGCGTCGACTGGGTCAGCTCCTTGCTAATGGAGCAAATACACAATGTGAATTAATTAACGGTAGTCATAACTATTACAAAATTAATGACAAACTTGTATAAATTATAATGACTGTCCCTATACATTCAAGCTTCGTCCATAAGACGACGGATAACTGTAAAAACGCAACTTCTTTTCCATAGTAAGGCCCTGCTGGTGGGGAAGGGGGGGAACGTCTCCTTGGGGGGACTAGCCCTACTGTCTCGCTAATCCGCATAAACTGTCTTATCGGAAATGGATTCCTGCAAAGATGTTTGCTTTGTTTTTCCTTTTTTATGGCGATATTTAAACCTCACTATGCATGTCTGTTTCTGCCGCCAGGGATCATTGTAGTATGGAAGGACTATATATAATCTGTTTTCCTGAGTGGACGGACTCCGTTTCAATTTCTCTCCGGCGCTTGTATTTAAGAGAAAATTAACCAAAGGCGGAAAAATTCAAACCGAGACAAACACAAGTCTTGAAAAAGAAAATCCATCAGGGTAAACTGACTTTCTAGAAAAGTGAGTATAATAAAGTAGAAGAACGAGAAAATGTTTTAGCCGGTTTTTCACTTAAACATCGCAGCTTCAGTTCGTTGTACTTTGTAGGTGAAACTCTTTGCAACCTTGCATCAGCGTGCATTTTCTCCATACTGTCCCCTTCACATTCCTAAGATGCCAACAAGGTGAATTTGTTTAACAATCAAGAACTTCTTTAGTTGGTGATCATTTCCTTTTATTCTCTGGACTTGTATATTTGAATCAGGGGTGAATTGTTAGGAGAAATTAAATGCTAGTCACTGTTAGGGATCAAAGGGTTAAGGCATTGACGAAAGCGAGCTGACGAGAGGTTTCCAAGGAATTAGCATCGTGTCAGACCACTTGCCGACCTTACGTCGACTAACGTTGCACAAGGCCTCAAACTTTATCGCTGGCGAAGGCATGCTCTTACTGAAGCGCTTATATAATGAAGGCCAATTCGCAGGCTGGTCAAATGTCCAAAAGATAACTTCAAACGGCAACAAGGCAGCCCCGACGGCATTTGAAAGCCACTTACAGACCCTTCTTTAAAGTAGCGACCCCAATATCACTTTTTTTACAAGTAAAATTATCTTCATATAACAACAATAATTATGACAATCAGCAAATGATTCGAAATGTCGGAGAAACGACAATCGTACAGCTGACAACCAATGCAACAAGTTTCGTGGATATGTACCTAACTGCACTTTTTTATAAAATAGTTTTAAATGAAATCTTCTTCCTCCTCCATTTTGCATGGAAAAGGCTTTTTTTGAACCCGACTATACTCGTTCAGGAGTAGTACACTTCAGAAACCATACGAATTTATCTCTACCTTATTTATCTCTATCTCTACAGCTCTTCACCGAAGTGAAGGTGGCTGGTGGTTGAAGCGGCGAGCTATTATCCTATACAATATACCGTCATCATCCGTCAAACATTTTTTGCGGGCACGCGATTGGTCTAAACACATCAAGTGATTGAATATGCCCCAACTAAAACTAGGGAATATCCGCGGCTTTACCACAAGTAATATTTCCCAATTTTCAAACCTTACGTCTTCTACGATAAAAACGTTCGTATAAAATTTAATTCAAAATGGGAGAGCGTTTAGCGATCGTTTAGCTATTGGATTTGAAGGGACTGCATGTCTGTTCATTAAGTCGTACCAGAGAACGCTAAAATTGAGTAAACACACGTAGGAAACAGTTAGCTGCTTGTAAAAATTATTTCTCTGCGTTGCGAAAACATTTGAAAGATAACAAACACAATAGCCTCTATTTGAAGAGAAAGTAATCTGTTCTTATATTTGTCCTTGGACATTATCTGTTCCTCGAAGCAAACAGTTATCCTCGAATTTGGCGGAAAACTGTTTGCATCTCGGAAAAGATGTCCTAGGACAAATATCCGTGTATATTTTCGCGCCAAATGGAGGCTATTGCTTATCTAGCCACCGACAAAGATTAAACACTGAAAAGAAAAGAATGAGAGAGAGAGAGAGAGAGAAAGAAAATATTTCGGTGTCCAAACTTTTGATACATAACATAAATCTTTATATATGTGGTGATCCACCTTGTTTCTGTCAATAAGGTCGTTTCACCAGGCAATCCTTGAAAAGCCATCGTCAATCGTCAATCGTAACAAAAAACGTCACGCATGTACAATACCTTAGTATCACCATGCACTTCCTTTCTGGTTGCTGCACACTTTACGTAACGGTCGAAAATGTGCGTCTCTATAAGCAAGCTTATTTCCCCGACTTTTAAAAACTCAGGAATGAACTCTGCTGTTGTCAGACGAAACGCAGGTGAGATTAACACAAGTTTTTGCTGTATTACTTCGTCAGAGCTACTTGCTAATTAATCACTTATAATATCAATAAAAGATATCATATCATGACATTAACGCGTGTCCTGTCCGACGACGACGCACTTCCTCCAGAGCGTGATAATGGGGACCAAAGCTCATTGTAAAGGCACGTCCGTTTAGTTTTCCCTTTACACCCTGACATCAATTTCAGATTCTCCATACTCTTTGCTATACATTTCCTCTAGAAATGACAAGGAGAATGCGTTTAACCATCAAAGCTTCTGAGGTTGAAGATCATCTACTTTATTCGCATGATCGTTATGAATCATTCAGAACTATTACTGTAAAGAGAATTGAAATACATGCAGGTCATTTTTTAGGTTTAAAGGATTGAAAGAAAGTTTCCATCGTTGAAGTATAAAATTCCTTATGTAACCTTGGTTTCTTTGTTATCATAATCTCCCTTAGCTTACTGGTTGGTGCTTTAGGTTACTTTGTATTCAAAAAGCGAGCTGAGTTTCGCAGAATTTCTCACTTGTGTTACTGAGAATTCCGCGCACGCTGGTTCAGTAATCTTGGATTGAATACTTTCACTTGATTCAGGCTTTATTGTCGATAATTCAGTATCACACGTTCCGTTCTGCGACATACCTACTATATTACAATCGAATCCTAGGGTTAGCTAAGGAAATCCACACCCAGATACGTAATTCCGCGTGGGATTCAAGATTTACTCACGTTCTACAACGATTCGTGGGCACTAATTTCCTATTAAACATGGCTTTACTTGCACAATCATGCTGCTAAGTTCCTACGCGCTTAAACGCCCGGCAAATACCTAATTTCATACAGCACTGTTCACAGAACTAATTTGATTATCCTATTTGATTTTCCTATTATCCTGTTACATGCTACTTTTAATTGCAATGTTAACTCTGTTCTTTAACGGTAACGAAATTAAAACTCACTTAATACACAATCAAATTTATAATAAATCCAGGAAATACATTTTTGCGTGGAAACATTTCACAATAGCGTAAGGGAAAAATTGAATTCACTTCTGCCCTGAAACAGACGCTTTGGACTTTCCCATTGCATATTTTCATTTAACCTCCAACGAAAGTATCGATTTTTCTGCTGTTTTCTTTGAAAGGAAGTTCAATCAGTTTACTTAAGTCCGGTGAAGATAAAATCAAAGACAGATAAATGTGAGTGGTCAGCGGTGAAACAACTTTAAGAGACAGATCGTGCAGTAGTTGAGGAAAACAATCGTGTTATAAAGCCGAAATGTCATCAAGTTATATTCCGCTAATTAAAAAGTTAAGCAATTTTCCAAGAGCTCTGACTGTAACAATATTTTTTACTGCGAAATTAACCAACAGAGGCATCGGGAAAGGCATCAGTGACGCCGGGAAAGGCTTCAAAAGGAATGATATTTGCGTTTTGTAACTTGTTGCGTGACGGAAAAAAAAGTATGTTGACTTCCGGTTGTGCAAGGCGTTAATCACAGTTGGCTTACTTTTCACTTAAATTCTGCAATCTCGACTGTCTTTTCTGGAAAAATGAAAAGCTAAGTAACTCTAAAAAGACGTACCGTTAGTTCTCGATTTTTATATTTTTTGAGTCTTAAATAAGTTTGTATCCACAGCCTAAGATAAGAAATTTAAAATTTCCATCAGCTGAAGTTCTCTCACTGTCTATTCAGTAGATGTATTCAATCGCCTCCATTTCACGTGAAAAAAAGGGATGTAGGAAAACTGTGAGCTTCGAGAAACAGCCAAGTTAAGGCTAATGAGTTTGCCATTCCTCAAATAATTATAATCAAGGCCACTCGTTTAGGAAACGTTTTCTTAAAAGATCCAGATGTTAAGATAATTCTGTTTTTGCCTCTTGTTGTCACTATTTATCATAACAAGCATTTTTCTACTTATTAGAAATTCAACTTCCAACGTTTTGTACATTAATTAACTGAAGAAGACAGAAGTTTCTGTTGAAACATGTTTTACAAACTTGAAAGTTTTGTCGTTTTCTTTAAATTATTGAATTGCCTACTACTATCAAGATTAATTTTTTTCCTTTTCAATTTAACCAATGCTCTCGGGATGCCACCGATGCCTCTCCCGTTGACTCCATCGTTTATTACAGCAGTTAAAGATTTATGTATAGTCAACATTTTGGTAAAGTTGCTTAACTTTTTATTTAGCGAAGTGTACTGATAACATTTTGGGAATTAAAACACGAATATTTATAACTGGAACTACAAAAGAGTTTTTTTTCCACAACTTATTTCACCGCTGACCACTCGTATTTCGGACTTTTTTTCTTCCCCCGTAATGTAGTAACTCCCACGTTTTTATGCTTGCGTGACTGGAATTCTAATTTTTACGACGTAAATATCTCGTTGACACCTTCGTTAGGAATTTCTTCATCCTAAAGACGTCCGGTACATTGTCACTGCACTCGTTATCAAAGCAAAGGGAAGATTCTTTTGAGAATAAGTGCAGAAACTGTTTGAGACTGTATAGAAGATTCCTTCCGCTGAGCCTCTGGGCATCGAACATCTACAACAAAGATCATTACGGTAAGGTTTCACTCAGTAGTAGTTTGGGTGAACGTGACGCCACAGATAGCTCTCATGCTTACCTGCACGGTCTATCGGTGCGTGCAGTATTGGATTTGGCCGAACATATTTTACCTCCTTTTATTTAAGAGGAGATAGACTTGCCTTGATTTCCTAACAGAAAGGGTTGTTTTGACTTCCTCTGTCCATCACCTTTTTAATCGAAAAATCTCCACATAATCAGTGATAGTAGTTAATAACGAACGGCGTAATCTGCGATTGGCGGTCGACGTGTTCGTTGTTGTTGATGTTTTTTTTTTTTAGTTTGTTTGTTTTAAAGGTCTGTGAGCTCTTCTCTCATAGGTGCGTTGATGATTTCATTTCAAATAAAACTTGATAGCCTAGAAGTAAATAGCGATAAAATATGGAAAACTCGAGGGTTATAGACGGATTACTAATCCAGCTGTTAAATTCAACTGCTTGTGGGTCTTTTTAGAGGTACAAAGATCAGATTGTTATCTTGGAAGATCATGCATTTGGTGACAGCACTTAGATAATTTTAATAACATGCTATCTGTGAGGAGTAAGTCTTTTATTGGTTACATTCGATGGCTGCTCAATGATTATGATGTTGACACGGATTCATACCTTCAGAGAAACTTCAGAAAGGGGTGGGGGGAGGCATGGGCAGTCTCCTTCCCGCTCCCTCCGGTTGTGAGGATATCTTGCAACGAGGTTGCGTGAAAAGTCTACGTGAGTCTTAGCCACATTTCATTTTTTAAATCCTGCTTATGGTTTTATTTGCGGTATGTTTGTAGTCATTTGAACAGACGTATCATATTTTCACCCGAAATGAGGATGAGGTTGACATGCGCCAATAATCGTAGAGGAACAAACACCAAAAATATTTGAGTGAAAACTCAAATTGTCTCATTTGCTCATAACAGTGTTTCGATAAACCGAGAAAATATATGGTTATTCGATTTCTCTTTGCATAACAGAGCTGATTATACAGAACAGGAGATTATAACCTAGAAGCCCTAAAGATTTTGTGGTCGCGTCAAACTGCGAGAGGTTTAATAATGTGTCTCATTTGGGCGCAGACGTTTCTTTAAGGGTGTAGCGGGGAGAGATGGAAAATAACAGGAGAAGCTAAAGGTCTCAAATTGGCAACTAGGCTAGTCTACATCTTCTTACTAGTAGCGTTTTGTCTCTTCTTGGAAACACTCACACACATGCTCTGAGATGCTAACATCTTGTGGCCTTAGGTACACTCCGCGTTGCGTGACATCTCTGAAATACGGGATGCAGAGGAGATTAAAGTCGCGCGTTGGTGTGCGGGTTTGACCGATAAGAGTCTTGAAGTTGAGCTTTTAAGCGATTTGCAGTATTTGAATCACGAACAGTCTGCTGTCTCACTAATGCTTTTAACTCTCTGGAAGCAACCGGGTGTGTGTTAGGAGCAAGGTTATCTTCATGATCCATAAAGCTTTTGGCGTCGCCTCGCGACATAGAAAGAGAGAAGAAAGAGGAAAGAGAAATTATTTTGAAAATTGTTCATTGCGGTGTACGTTTCTTTATTTTGAGTACCGCTTGAGACTCAGCGTGAAGTGGTACTGAATAGAAAAAGTTATCTTTATTTATGGCGTGCCCGTCACCGCAAAACATTAATAGTCCTGACTATCTAACAAAGTTGGATACTTCTAAAACGCCCGGGCAGATTTCGCTTGAAATATCGTTTACACTTATTTTTAAATAGCACGAGACCAGACATCGCGGGAGGGTTTAGCCGAACATGTCACCCAAGCCTCTCTCGTTTTCTAAACCATTATGGCGGCTTTATATAGTCCGCCCAACACTGAATAACTCCCTATGCAAATTTGTACGCCCACATAAACAACTTCCTATTGCGTCACTGCTATTAACTTTTTATATATTATTATACATTTATTTGATGTTTTTACCATTGTTCAGTTAGGCCATGATCATGAATACATTTTTGGTTCTTCTGGCTCTTCTCGGTGTTGCTGTTGCCCAGGCCCCAGGTTAGTCATTTTAGCACGGTTGTGCTCTGTTCCGAGTAAAAGTGCTCCACAGTTTCACTAAGACTTATGATTCTTCTGTTCTTCATCGCAGACACTTGCCCCGCACCTCCTAAGAACCTTCTTTGTTTCATTGGACTGAAGAACACGTGCACTGACAGCATCAAGTGCCGGAAAGGGACACTGTGTTGTGATGATGGCTGTCGAAGACGCTGCAGGGACCCGTCAAATGACAGTAGGGGTGCTGGCCAAGGTACCAAAATTGCACCCACGCGCATTTTTTTCTTGTCTATCGTAGGAAGCAAATTTTTTATGTCTACCGTAGGAAGAAAATTAAGAGTTCCCTTATTGGGATTTTTCTTGTTTAATTTCTACAGCTACTCCTCGATCGGGAACCTGTCCATCGCAGCTGTCCCCGCCTCCAGGCCCCTGTGTGTCGGATTCGGACGAGTGTATGTTTGATTGGGATTGTCCGGGATCCACAAAAAAATGCTGCTCTAACAACTGCTTCAAAGAATGTGTTGACCCTAGTATTGGCGCTCTTCGAGGTACCACTTAAATATTAGTAACATTTTGAAAATTTCTTTGTTTTTTTTTTGTTTTTGCCTGCGTTTTAAGCGGGTGCGGATGACTGAGACTCGCATGCGCATGAGAATTTTTACCCGCGCGTGGGTTTAAGGGAGCTCTTTATTCCCAGGAGACTGCTTTCTCATGTACATGTTACATGTCCTCTCGCCCAAGGCATCTTACGTATGCCACGAGTTGTTCTTAGCACGTCTCATCATAGAGTCATTGAATAGTGTTACTGTACATAATTACACGCGTGATCAGCGCGCGCGGAAAAACAAAATGGTAGTTTAAACGTATTGGCGAGAGCTCATCTCCTTGTGAGGCAAATCATCATTTGATATCATTGATAGTGGTATGATTACTATTAAAGTCTGCACTAATCAGTGGTGCGTTGCACCCCGGTTAAAATATCTGGATTCGAACTCGGGAAAAGGTAATTGTTATGTTCTTGAGCAAAGAGAATAAATCATCCAGGGACCAGTCGTTCAAAGGGCGGATAACGCCCTCCCACGGATAAATCGCTCACAAAACGTACTGCGCTATCCACCGGATTGACATTTATACCGTAGATAGCGTTATCCACCTTTCAAAAAACCGGGGCCAGGAGTATAGACAATTACTAATGAACCGTGGGGAAACCTGGGCAGTTTCGATGGACGGATAACGCGTTACCACGGATAAATTGCTATCCCGCGTATAGGGGTTAACAGAACCTACTGTGCTATCCTCTGGATTTTTCTGTGGACAGCATCATCCACTCTTCGAACGACCATAGCCTGTCCATTCGTAGGGGAGTAACTTGCGTCCTATTAACAACTCACTCAGGTAGAGTGACAACGCCGCTGGTCACCTTATGATAATGAAATCAGCAAAGGCTCAACGACAATGGGCCACCTTGCTCGAGTGCAGATTACGCTAAGGTTAAAAAATCTTCTCACAGGTTCTATTCAAGAGAGGTAGCCTTAAAACTTTACAATGGCACTAAGTGTAACATAAGAATTTGGACTCTGCTCTCAGTAAACCCACGCGCGCTCGCTGAAGTATTTTAACAGAGTCTGAAACTTTTGCTTACTATTTTGTTTATTCCAGCCAGCTGTCCTCCACAGAAGAAATCTATTAGCTGCTTCATAAACCTCAAGAACCAATGTTCCAAGGACTCGGATTGTAGCTATCTTCCAGGAGGACTCTGTTGTTTTGACGGCTGCCGCCGAAGATGCGCTGATTCCAAAGGTTTTCCTGCTAGACTAGAAAGTAAGTTAGTACATCCTGTGAACAGCCAAAGTAACATTTCTTTGGTTTTTAAGCAAAACCGTCAGGGTTGTCACAATTCGTCAAAAACGTAGCTTTGCAGTTTGCCTTTCGTAATTCGTGTTTCACAACATTTTACTGGTGGATGAGGATGGCTCTGTGATTGGTCAAGAAAACTCATACCATCCACTCGACCAATCAGATTCAAAACTTAAACAAAGCACGATTTCGTTTTCTGTAGGTGCTTACCATTAAGCCAAAAGTCTGGAAATTTCGGTCGGAGGTCACATGGTAAGGAAATTTTCCGAAAAGCTTCGTGAGAAAATTGTGTAGTACCTACAAAGTTACATGTACTCCTCTTTAGCCGTTCAGTATGGAGCGGCGAAAAACTCCCTACCTTTTGAATGAATCTTCTGTTTCCAGACCATTTCCGCGCGGTTTGTGTCATCTTGGAAATGATACGCAAATCTCATCCGGTTGGTCCCTTACCATCATGTTACAATTAAACCAACCGGATTTTTCCCACAAATGGTAAGCATCCTGTGACTCCCAGCGCTTGAGGGTGTTTTATTTTATTTTTTTTTTTTTTCCTTTTCGTTTTGCCTGCTTTTAGCCACTGGGTTAATCAAATGCTACAGAATGACTTCAAATTATACCTTTTAACAGGTTTCGACTTTCCTTTCAGCTGACAGACCCGGGCAATGTCCATCCACTAAACCACCACGGCCGTGCATTTCAGACTCAGATGAGTGTGAATTCGATGGGGATTGTTATCCGGGAAAGAAATGCTGTGATAACACGTGCTTCACGCGATGTTTGGATCCTGTGGGTCTGGGAACTAACACTAGTCAATCTGGCTTGGGGCCTAATATTGGTGAAAGTAAGTCGAATATTAAGGGCTTGTTTAAACTTGCGTTGTTCCCAGGCTCCCTCCGTGGTCTGAGTGCGGTGCATTGGTGCTGTGTTATACATTCAAACAGATCTGAATCGAAAGACCTAGCTTATCTCAAACCTCTGCGGGCTCGCGCAAGGAAATCTTAGGAAAGTTATATTAGGGGACTACGAAGAAATGAAAAACAGCCGCGTATTCCGCTCTGTTTAATAATATACTTCAGAAACCATATGATTTAAGAAATTCGTCTTGGGACGCCGCCATTGCCGCTCATTTAACAGACTTCAGCTCACAATACGGCCGCGCTCGAAGCGTATCAATTCTGACACTGAAAGAAATTGGCTGTAACCCATGTCCATTGAGAAGACAAAACTGCTCATCGATTTTTAAAATAAGACAACTAATGAAAAATAATTGGAGTAAGTTTCTATATAAACTATGGTGTTACATCGGTGGGAATATAACAAGATGACTTGTTTTTATCAACTGAGTCGATAATGTAAATTGGTTCCTGCAAAAAGTTTCTTAAGTTAACGTTTCCGAGCGTTAGCATTTCGTTAAAGCAAATAGAGGAATCGTGGGTGTTTTTTGTGGTTTATGTCCGGAAAGATGGAGCTGCACTATAGGTTGTAAAATGGTAACGTTAAAAAAACTATAATAAATTAGTTGAATCGGTAAAAAAAAGTTTACTGATACCGTGAAGATCAAGGATGCCGATTTGAAAGATAATTTGTTATACTTGGGTTTTGCAGTTTTCCGAACTGCTTAGATGTAGGAAAAGGTTGCAGACTGCCTTTGTGAGTTAGAATGATAAGGGAGATGAGAGAGTATAGTGTGTAAAAGCGTTTCCATGGATGCAGGGTTTCTTAAGGTCGTTTATTTTTATATTTACGATCAGTCATTCAAGGAGAAGCGGCGGGAAAGTGTCCTATCGTCTCTAATTCAACTCGGTGCCATATTGGACTTGCGCATACCTGTAACAATGATGTGGAATGCCCTAATGGTACCTACTGCTGTTTTGATGGCTGTAGGAGGAAATGTTTGGATACTGAGGGCAACTCAGCTGGAGCGCAAGGTACAGACCTCTATGCTGAGCTGACGATGGACGATTTTTTTATAAAATGCTTTAGGCACAGTATATTTTATGGAAATTATGATCTAAGAGGCGTGACGTGAGTTAAACAGCGACAAGAAATGGAGAACGAAAATATCTGGTCCGAATAAAAGCGATCCCAAAGATTGTTATAAAACAGGAATCAATCTCAACATTTTCAAGTTCTGGTAATTAATTAAAGTTTTCCACATTCGTTTACCAGTAAAATTTGTTTATTACCATGACGTTTCTTTTAAAATTTTGCCATCACTTAGCAAATGTAACTTAAGCGCGGTATCTTAAATACTCTCCACAATAATTTTAGGTGAAGATAAAAAAGGATTGTGCCCAGTCCTCCAGCGACCGGAACTGTGCGTGTCCGACGTGGACGAATGTTTTATTGACTGGGACTGTGTTGGGGACTTGAAGTGCTGTTCCAATGAATGCTATAAAGTCTGTACGGCGCCTGCGCTCTTGATAGGAAGACTTGTGGCTGCAGCAGGTAGTGTAACGTCAATTTGTTATAATTCAAGGATGCAATACGATACGACAGATAGCGACCACAACAACCTGGCTGTTAGAAAGGGTTCTGAAATATCCAGATGCGAATTTTAATGACACTTTTGGAAGACATAGTGGACGTTGGTTAGTGCACTGCAATCCAGGTCGTAATTTCAGGGTGCCTCTCTCCATTCAACACTATAACAAAGGCCTCCATGACCACGTCGTCGTCTTTTGCTTGCGCGTCGTTGTTTTTGCTATTAAGGGCTCCCACGTCTCTAAGCTTTTGAGTTCTGGAGAAGTGGACGTTTCTTCGCCAGAGCTTGATGACGATCTTATTCTCCTTTTCCTGAGGAAGTTGGATAAACCTTCGGCCATGTGTTGTTGAAATACGACTTGAAAATGGCACACAGCTTGCAGTGAGCTCCACACAACGCCATCACTCTTAACATCAACAAGGTGGCCCTTTGTTTTGCCAGTTCCGTAAAATGTATTACCCTTTCACTTTTCTTCGCAGTCAAATGTCCAGAACCTGTGGCGTATAAACGCTGTCCTCAATCAATGAAGCATCTGTGTGACGATTCCAAGCAGTGTCCCACTGGTAAACATTGTTGCTTTGATGGCTGTAGACGAAGGTGCATCTCTACTGAGCCCGCGCCAGGTACTGGTTTTTTTGTTAATGAATTGTCTACATCTAATCAAGCAATTTACAATTGGCGTTGAATGTAATGTAGTATCGCATTGCTTTTGCCTCTGAAAGCTCAAAAAGCCTTCAATCGCAATCGCGAATGAAAAGACGCCGTAATTTTTTTAATAAAAAAACTCGTCCCGCAAATGAAAAATGAAGACCACTCGTTACTTAATGACTCACGATTTTACTGCGCATAGAGTGCAGTGACTTCATTTCTCTTTGGAGGGAGTTTGCTCAGCATGGTATTTAGTCCCTTGGCTAGAAGAATATTAAAAAAAAAAAAGACAAAAGAAAAAAAAAACAGATTGCATAGAATTATTTCTACACCGATCCATGAATATTCTTGGCATTGTCTAATTATGCAGTTAACTCTCGCCCTGCAGACACTTTGTAATTGCGCAAGTACCGTTACATGTAGCTGTAGTTTCAAAAACCTACACAAGCTCTTACGCTCTTGATATGAGGGGAAACACTGGACTTTCTCCTTTACATCACAAGCTTTTGTATGAAACTTGTAAATTCTTTTTCCAGATACTTGTCCTAAAGCCGGCAAAAATCTGATCTGCCCAGTTGGACTCAGAAACACATGCGTGGATAAGGATTCGTGTCTGGAAGGAACCATTTGCTGTCACGATGGATGCAGACGGCGCTGTAGGAGCCTGCCTTCTAGCACCAGTCGGCCCTCGACGAAAGGTTCAATGCATGCTTGTTTACTTTGTTTCTGTATCTTTTGTCGCGTAATTTTCCTCGCTTGGATTTTTTTGGCTCTCGCAAATCCTCAACTCCCAGAAGTTTTTCAGATTTTTAAGAAAATTTTATCGCGGCGTTTTTTTTTCAGTGGCGAGCGGGGGCAGGGATTGAAAAGACGCCGTAATTTTAGAACTACAGGGCGGACTTCGAGTTAGTGGGACTGTTTGATTGCTGCGAATCGTTCACCCATATGTTCCATTGAAGCCAGTGGGATTTCATGGTTCCCTTTATCGTATGTACACTCTAAAACTTCCTCAATATACCTCAATAAATCAATCTTTTTGCTTCTCCTTCGTTTGAAATGTTGTCTTCAAAATATCTTGCAGCTATACCTAGGCCAGGAATTTGTCCTCCGCTTACTCCTCCATCCGAATTCTGCCCGTCTGATTATGATGAATGCAAGTATGACTGGGATTGCGACGAACCATCCAAAAAATGCTGTTCAAACGGTTGCTATAAAATCTGCGCTTCTCCTGCTGTGGCAGCAGTACAACTCCAAGGTATGTAAGGTGCACCTGCTAGATTTAAAACGACCGGAACATCGGTAGATTTGGTAGATTTGGCATGAAAATAGGACATGTAGATTCCTGCTATGTACAAGCTTCTCGATAAAAGAAATCGCACATTTCTTTGCTAAGTTTCACGTCTTGTTTACAATGAAAAAGGTTTGTTGACAACGTGCGCATGTTTGTATTGAAGCCACACGTTGCCATCGCTAATTCCCTCTCTTCTTTTAAAGGCCGTACAGCAGTTACCCTTTCAAACCATTTAACTTGAAAGATTCAATATGTCCAAACATTTCTTTTTTCCCAGGTCCTTAAATAGTCCATGATTTTTCCAAACTTTCATTACTTTTCTGTCCGAAAGTTAATTAAAACTGTAATGAGAATTTCGGGCGTAATGACTCGTGCAATTAAAAATCTCAAATGTAAGGCAGCGGTCCTCTGATGATCCACAGAAAATACAATTTTTTTTAGTCAGTAAGCTGCATGGTAATTCCAACTCTGTTTGTAACTAAGAGTGATTATGGTGATTCATGCACAAAGTTTGATTGGCTGATTCTTTATTTACAATGTGTCAATTAAATACAGGAGAGTTGTAATTCATTTTAAAAATGAAGTGAAAGTATACTTTGGTTTATGGAGCGCACACGTTAAATGGTAATAAAAAACGATATTAGCAAAGAGACATACATCCAACTCTCACCAGAAGACTAGTCATTATTTATTGCCGGGTGAGGGGGATGGAGGGGGGTTCAGGTAATATTATTGAGACACAATCAAATCCTGCGGGCGCCCCCCCTTCCCCGAAAATAATTATTAACCAGTTGTACGATAATTCATTGTGAGTTCTTGAGAGTAAAATAGTTTTTCTGTATTTTTCTGCAAGACAACTGTCCAGCGCCAGAGAAGCCCAAACCTTGTTCAATGACTCTTCGGAACCAATGCTTCAATCACACGGATTGCAGCTACCTATCCGGTGGACTTTGTTGTTATGATGGGTGTCGCACAAGATGCGCTACCGCTGAAGGCTTCCCAGCTCAGATACAGAGTGAGATATTCAAGCAACAAGTGCCTTGTTTTCGAGAAGCGTAGCTTGTTCCAAGCGTTCAGTCATCAGTTTAAAAGAAGTGCGATGGTTAATGGCGCGTTTGTAGCGGTTGAGCGAAAACAGAGGAAGGTTTGAGTTTTTTCCGCTTCGCTTCTACCATCGCGCTTTATGTTAGTTCACTCCACTTTACTCACTGAACGCCTGGAACAGCCTACGGGGAGCTTCGTCTTTTTTAAAATGTTTTTATTTGTTTCTTGCCTTTGTGCGTTTTATTCTTTGTTTTTTTTTTTTTCTTCTTTTGTTTGTTTTGTTTGTTGATGTTGTTTCGGTCATAGTCTTTCCCTTTTTGGCTGTTTAAAACTGCCTTCAAAATGTGTTAAGTCTAATCGTTGGCCTGTCAGTGTACTCAATCTTTGCAACTGAATAACTGTTTTTCAGTCGGTGTGTGCTTGAATCACAGCGAAGTGTTTGACCAGACTATCTGTATATTTATAGAACAAACCTTTTCTTTCAAATCGGTTCTCCTAATCCCAACGGCATCAACGAACGCTTTTCATTCAACTGATATATTCTCGTTTTTCACGTTATCATGTTTTCACCGATAGCGTAGCTCCTTTTTTCTGCATATAGAACACGCACAACCCTGTGGTTATTCCGTGTTTCAGAGCCACGGCCTGGTAACTGCCCCAACCTCATCCAACCCGAATTTTGCGCTCCACACTTCGACGAATGTCAAAACGATGGAGACTGCTTTCCTGTAAAGAAGTGTTGTAGTAATAACTGCTTCAACAGATGTGTAAATCCAGTTTTTGGTGATGTTGGTTTTGGTAAGTTCAAATACTCCCGAGTCCACCCTAGAAATTAAATGTTTGAGTAGGCCTTTGAGGCTTACCGAATGAACGGGTTTCGTGAAATTCTGCCATTCATACAATATTATAATTTCGGGCAGCTCTCCCTCGCCGGCTTGAATTCAAATGGTGGGTAACTGCTCAATCGAACAGCATAACAATTTTAATTTGCTTGAATTTTCAGCAATTTTCAGTGTATAGTTTTCTGGTCGGTCGTTTCGCGATTTGTCAAGGAAACTATCTCCGAATTGTCAACATATGAGTTGCGAAAGTGAAACCAATTGCAAATTTGTCGCTCGTATGTCCTCATGTTTTCGACATTTTGCAGGTTTTTAATTTAGGTTCTGAATCGCTTACTCGCCCGTCGTGAAACGGTTCAAATTGTTTCCTAAGCCCGTGCGTTTTAGGTCAGTAGAAAGACTGGTGAAGGAACAGCTGTCCCTATTCATAACTCTATACAAACGCTCCGTATAGTTGTCTCGTGGGGGAGGGTTGTCACGGGGTTTCAGGGCATAAGGTAAACGCACGCACACCACACGTTTTAACACGCTCGCACCCTAATCGCATGACACGCTTACCGTGCAGATATGCGCATAAAAACAATCGATTTTGGAAAGCGTGTTTGTAGCCATTGTTCATATCTGGCTAACACGGTAGAGCTTTGTTTCTACAGCACGCTAGATTTTTTTGTTTTGTTTTAACACGCTAAGTTCCTTTGTTTCCTTAACACGCTAGCTTATCTTGTACAACCCAGCTCACTAAGTTACATGTGTTTGTCAGCGTCTTTATCGTGAGATTGGTGTTTGTAAAGTATATTACTTACAAAATAGAAGAAAAAATGAAGAACATCTTCTGTCTTGTTCGAAAGTTCTAATAAAAAAGGAAACATTCACGGCAAATCACGGCTCTTTCCCTCAGGATTTTAACGTGCTAGAAGCTAGTTCTTTTGTTTTAGCGTAAGAGCGGGCTGTGTGCGTGCGTTCACCTTATTCCCTGAAACCCCGTGGAGGGTCACATATAAATAGGTATTCTAGAAGTATAAGCAGGCGAGCAAAGACTTGACATAAAATAATTTCGCTCTCTCTTTGTTCGTGGGGAAATTTCATGCAGAATAAATTACCGAGGAGCCCGTATTAATGTTGGTTTGGTCATCAGCCAGCTTTTTTAGTAACTGCACCCGTCGTTAAAGGAATGATACTCGAGATCTAAAAAGTTAACACGTGTTGTTCTCTCCTCTTTCAGTCAACACTACTTCAGTTAACAAGTGTCCTGACACTAAAAAATCAAGTACGTGTCATGTGGGGCTGAAAAACACATGCAATAATGATGCTGAATGTGCAAATGGCACCTACTGCTGTTTCACGGGCTGTAGGAGGCAGTGCTGGGATCCAAAGACTAGGTCCTCATCAACACTGAGTAAGGATTGGTTAGTGTTATGCGTCATAAATGAGAGATAAAAGCTCGGAAATGTCATTTACTAAGGCGCTGACAAGGAGAATGTGTTTAGCAATGAAGAGTTTCTTTAGTTGGTGATCATTTTCTTTATTCTCATGACATTAATGTGTGATTCAGTGGTGATATTGTAAGGAGAAATTAGATTTCAGTCACTCTTAGGGACTAAAGGGCAAATAGGCATTTTTTTTCCCCTCAGTTGCCTCTTAGTGTGAGAATTTTTCACACCTAACTCCCTTTGGGAGTTGCGATAAAATAAAAAAAAGTTTAATTAGAATCTGTCGTTACTCCGACTCCCCTTGGGAGTATTCCTTTATTTGTTCTTAGAAGCTACGTGCAAAAACGAGAGTGTTAAGTGTTTGTTAGTTATCTTTATTTTACTTTTGCTGTCCGGTTTTCTTTGATTTTGCGGTAAACAGTTCTAAACCCTCACTGCGAAGATGGCATTGGAGTCGTTATGATATAATTTTGTTGATCGATGTACAATTAACAATTGGTTCATACGTCAGCGTGCGTTCATCGAGATATGAAGCACGCGGGAAGTTTGGAGAACACTCAAGAAGCTAGAGTTGCTCTCGGCTACGCCTCGAGCAACTCTTACACATCTTTCGTGCTCTCAAAACTTCCCGCGTGCTTCATATCTCGATAAACGCACAGCTGACGTATGAACCAATTGTTTTATAACATTTTCAACCTGATGGAAAATTTTTTTTCTGGAGGGACTTGTTTGCTGACGTCATGAGCGTGCACAATAGGAATATGAAGCACGCTCGCATAATTGAATTTGATTACACAAATTTACTAGCTTTGTTATAAATTTAGTTTGTCTATTGAGCCGTTGAGAGCAGCCTTTGAGTTAGGAATTTTGAAGCAAAAGTAGTGCGACGGTACTGACTGAATTCGATAGGATACTGCATTTTCTAGAAGTACAGTTCCTGTCCTTTCACCAAGATCAGTCAACTAAATTCTACCAGAAAGCGAGACGAATCGAACAATGGGAAACCTTGTAGATAAGAGCGATTTGCTCTACTTTCATCCCTGTTTTTCCTAGAAACGGTGAGGTCTCTCTCGTTCATGGGAAAAAGTGCTCAAATATTTGTTTTTTTATACATTGTGAGAATTAGTTTGTCAACCAAAAACATATGACAGCTACCGTGTAGCCACGGTTACTTTCCCAAGAGCTAAAAGTTGCTTTTTTTTCTCCAATCGAATTGCTGCGATGTCATCTTTTTTAAAAGATAAGAAAGGCACGTGCCCAGTGCTTCAGTCGCCTCCTCCTCCATGTGTATCAGATGCGGACGAGTGTTTCATGGACAACGACTGCGTCAAAGACAAAAAGTGCTGCTCCAATGGATGCTACAGAATTTGCGTGCCTCCCTCGGCAAAAGCCATAGGTTCTCTTACTACAGGTGGGTTCACCTCATATCTTTATCTTCCAACACTGCTATAGGGTCATGCCACCGTATGCAATTATCAGTCTCTATGGTGGCCGTAATTGCCACCCGCTGCCTTCAACGCCGAAAGAAAAAAAGAATACACGGTGGTTAGTTAGCCGTGGCCCAGTATTTGTGAACTTAAGCTAACCACGACGACGATGGCAACGAAGACGTGGCTAAGGAAGAGATCTAATGAGCAGAACAATAGCTCAGTACTTGCGTTTAAAAGCGTTTTAAAACTTTGTACGTATTTTAGCCGTCATCTGAAAAACAACTGGGGAAAACGACCAAAACTTTGCGTGGTATGAGAACGGAAAACTCAAATGGAAAATAATTAAAGTTTCTATTCGGAACTCAATGCCGCTCACAAACGTCTTGCTGGGGCTTAAGTCATCCTGCCATTTGCGAAATTCTCACTAAAAATATGAATTTATTTTTTTAATTGATGTCTTCCTCGGTGTTGTCTTCGTGACCACTCAAGGTCCCAAGGATTTATCCACTAGTGCCTCGTTGGAACTAGAGGGCCTACCGATCCGTTTCTTTTTTCCTAGTTTTTTAGTCAAGAAATTGTTTTTTTCTTCTTTTGCTAGTCAATTGCCCCCAACCGACAGAGTATCATTGTGCTACCTCTCTGAAGCACCAGTGTGACGATACGGAAGATTGCTCAGTCGACCAGGTTTGCTGTTTTGATGGCTGTCGAAGAAGATGTATCGACTACGAAAGCGGGCAAATAACAAGTTTGTAAAACTGACATATGAATCTCTTTGTATGTAATTAAGAAAGTGATACAGAAAGGCCCTATATAGGAACCCTTCCCCGCTGATCCGCATAAATTGTCTTCCCAAAACGGAACTTTTATAAAACACTTTTCAAAGTGGATGTGAAGAGGGAAATTCCACAAAAAGTGGACGTCAATCATCTGTTAATTTTTGATGGGATCATTTGACTTTATTATGCGCATGCTCAAGGAATCAGGCAAGTATCTACTTTTTGTCCATGATAGTAGGGTTTTCGACTTTAACCGGCATTCTGAGGGCAGAAAATCCCTAAAAATTTGATTGCCTTCTACTTTTTCGAAATTATTCCGCGCTCTGTGAACAGGACTGTAACAAAGAAAAGAAAGAGCAGGAACCGAGGAGAACAGAGGAAAAAAATAATGAAAAAATGGGCTCATTACCTATAATAAAAACTGCAATTTTCTGACACCAGAAGTCAGTCTAAAATCTTTAATTGAAGTGAGTCAGCGATTATTGACTGTTTCATACGTTTTCCGATGTAGTACCCATAAATCTGTTCCAAAGTGGTGGTATCCTCTGCATTTCCACTAGTCCCCTTCGCAGCCGTCGTTTGATCTCATCACGCAACTCGCTTTCAGGTGGGTGAGAGAGTGCGTTGCGTGAACGCAACGGCTGCGAAGGGGACTACGTTCCCAATGACTGTACTAATATTTCAAAAATTAAACGTTCGATAATCATTATTTCGTGTGGTGTCATATGTCTTCATACCAGTGACAACAACATGCCACGCGATGTGTTTCCTCTGTGAGTAGTGCGGGACGGATGCAAGTTTCGGAATGGCCGTCGTGTTTGTTTACCTCCTGGCCCTTACTGCGCTAGAAATTGCTTTTGTTAATGGAGAAGGAAAGCGTAACATATCTTACGGTACGTTCTGACTGTTTCTGATTTGTTCGCGTTTTGTTTTCGTTTCTGTGCAGTGATAATCATCATCGATGAAAGAAGTATTATTCTTCCACTTTGTTCGTCAATCTGCAGATAGTTGCTCTTTGATCTAGAAAAGGCAAAGAGTCCTACATACGATTGCCATCGCTCAATTGTGATACTTCGTAAAAGAAGAGAAATCTTACTCGAGGACCAGCGAAAAGAGAACTCTTAGAAAATAATGAGTTCTTGTTAATTGTTCCCGTCAAAGGCTTGTGGTGTAGACAGCCACTTACTGAGGTCGCCGGCAATCCACACACAAGACTTTTCCTTTCAACATGTTGATATGTCTGTGTTTCAGTCACCCTTTTGAATCAGCTTTAAACGTCAGAAATCTTTCAATGTGTCTTCCAGCTGCTCCACCAAACAGATTTATTTCAATTTTTCTCGGTCACAAAGTTCAGTTTCACGTGTGTCGGGATCATTGGAAAGTCATTTGAGATCGTTGTTAGATGAGTTGCTAAATTGCAAAGGGAAAAAATATTATTTTTTGGATTTTCCTTTGAATCAGGGCAATCTTCAAGAGATTTTTCAAATACAAACCGGTTGAAAAAGCTGAAGGCACTAGCAAAGCGAGCGGCAGCTCTGTAAGGTATTTGTCATTGGGAATGTTTTCATTGCAAGACCACTTGCAAACCTCTTGTATTCTCTCGTTGCTCAAGGCTGCAAACTTTTTTGCGAAGAAATGCTCGTACTAAAGCGGTAGTAAAGAAGGCTTTCTTGCAAGCTAATTGTAGGACAAATTATCAAAATTCCTCTCTGGGGAGTTCCCACGCTATCACCGGAAACAGCAGAAATCTTAGCTGTCATCAAAAAGTCTTAGAAACACATCAGTTACTTGACATTTGGATGTATTCTTCTGTTTGTTTCATTACTGTGTTTGTTTGTTTGTTTTTCTTTTTTGCTCTTTAAGTGACATATTATTGTTATCGTGTGCAACATTTTCGAGGCGAATTCGACTCATTTTAACGAGCTTTAGATTATAATTATAATTAAGATTTTAATTAGCTGTATATGATACTCTTCTTTTCTAGCGCTTGTAACCTCATTAGAGTCGCGCTACAAAAACTAACATTTTTGCGGTTAAAACTGTCCGAGTGAAGACTGAACAGTCCTACGGTAAAAACTGTTGGAATGCCATGTATCAACTTAGACAAAACTTCTACCAGTGGGTGTGGAGGCGTCTGGTTTTTAAAAGGCTCCAGACCGCCTTCAACCCCTAAACTAGTGATAGTGACATTGTCCTTTGCCTGTTCCAGGCGTCCAGCAAGTAAAGCGGTGCGAAATCCGAGTAAATTCGTAGAAAGCGCGATAGTAGCGGCAGAGCTTCGTAAAAAACCCCTCTACTCAAGAACTCAAACGTGAAAAAGAGACATCGCTTACACTCAAATTTAAGTGCTGTTTATAATGTGTGCAATTTCTAAAGAGAAGGACCATGGAACAGAATTTCCTACATTCGATTATTAAAAAAAATAAAGGAGATGCATCACGGTTTTTCGAGTTGAAGGTGTTTTTGAAAAAACAGTGAAAAACACCTTCAACTTGCAGAAAATTTCAATAAAATATTGTTTTAATTTGATACAAAAGCTAAAAGAGCCAATGACTAACCAAGAATGAACCAAGATTGTTAACCCTTTAACTCCCACGAGTGACCAAGACAAAATTTCTCCTTACAATATCAATACATTATCAACCAAATAAGTAATGAGAAAAAAGAAAAATATCAATTTGGGGATAATGATTGATCCAATACTAAATTCTCTGAGCTAATATCATAAGAATTGCATAGTTGTCAGTAAGGAGAATTACAAATTTGATCTGGGAGTTAAAGGGTTTAGGATGGAGGAGATTTACTCGGGTTGTAGCTGGTAACATTTGGGCTTAATTTGCGACGCGCTCTGGTCGATATTTTCGAATGTAATTATGGCATAAGGTATGACAAGTGCCCGCTTACTTAGTCGAGTCATAAGAGAGAACTTCATACATTTACAAATAAATGAGGTCATACAATGAGGATAAGTTTCTTTTTTTATTATTCATTGAAAGACTGTATCCAAGTGAAAAGAAAATGCCATTTCTCATTTTTTTCCCCTCTTTACCCCTTTATTACTTGACTTTTACTGTTTCTTTACATTCTTTCTTTTTCCCTTTCATCTTTTTTTATAACTTGAAATCTTTGGTCTCTCCATTTTCTCCCCCTCCCACCCTCCCACAATCTTCCTGCTGCTCCGCTAATCGTTTTTCCGATAGCGTCACCAGCTTCTAAGGTTATCTGCTTAGCTTCTTAACCATTTAACCCTTTAACTCCCTTGAGTGACCAAGACAGAATTTCTCCCCACTATATCTGTACAATATAATGCAGTCAAGTGATAAGAATAAAGAAAAATATCAGTTATGGAACTAATTGACCCGATACCAAATTCTCCAAACTAACATGATGAGAATCACTTGGCAGGCAGAAGGGAGAATTACTAATGAGATCTTGGGAGTTAAAGGGTTAAACTCTAACATTAGTAGTCATATCCTCCACACTTTTCTCGTTTCATTTCTTATGGTAATGACAAGGAAAATTTGTTTGACAACCAGGGGCTTCTTAAATTGGCTATCATTAACTTTAACTGTAATACGTAATATTTGAGTTAAGATACTATAGGGATAAATTAAAAGTCAGTCACTCTTTGAGGGTTTAAGGTTCAAATAGCTAAGCCTACTAAAAGTTTCTTGACCCTTTTTTTTTGTTCAACAGAGGGAGTAACGGTGTCCTGCAGGAAAAATGAGATGCAAATTGACGTGGAGAGAGGAGTTCTGACTGGTTTCAAACCTATTTACCTTCGACTTAACAACAGGTCGTGTATAGCTACCGGAAATGAGACACATTTCAGTCTGGTCGCGCCCCTGATGGGTTGTGGAACGGTCAGCAGTCACACGGGAGAAGATGTGGTTTATAGTAATCAAGTGGAGGAGGAAGAGGTGGAAATTGAAGGTGTCATTTCAAGAATGCCTGAACTTGCCATTCCTTTTAGTTGTTATTACACAAAGGAAGGAGTAACATCAACATACGGAATCATTCCTCGAAAGGTATCAAGGTCAAATGAGATATAATATACAGTTTATAATCTCTTGGGCTAAACGATTAATTTTCTGACACATTTGTCATGCACAAGATCTGTACTACTCCCTCACTCTTATTTCCACAACTACCCTAAATGTTAGGATGTCGGGTGTCTACCAAAGTGGCTTTTATGAAGAGATGATCTTGTAGAGCTGAGGATCACAGAACCAACCTTATCCTTTGAGTGACCACAAGCAGCCCAAGCTCACGTGAGCTTGGGAGGCCTGTGGAGTGACTAGCATCCAAGCGTCCAATTTCTCCTTACAATATCACCCCTGAACCAAACATCTAGGTCAAAAGAATAAAGGAAATGACCGCCAATTAAAAAAGCTCTTGACTTTTAAGCAAATTCTCCTTGTCAGCATCTTTGGAAATGTATAGAGAACAGTATGGAGAATATGCTCATTGATGCTGGCGTGGAAAAGGTCAACATACACGTTTGCTTTTTTTTCTTTTTGTACGTTTAAGTATAATTTTCTGTGGCTTCTTAGGTTCCATATTATTCCTTTTTGATTTCCATGTTTTGTTTTCCTCTTCATTCCAGTTAAAGATGACCATGGACGGCGGAGAAACTAAAACCGAGTTCACGCTCGAAATATCTGTGTTCAAAGACGAAAATTATTTACTGCCATTCGGCATAAGGGATTTTCCTCTGAAGGTTTCCTTAGGGAAGCCTCTCTTCGTACAGGTAGGTTGATAATTTCGAACAGGAGATTGTCTTCAGATGCGCACCCATGTATTACGCTTTTATCGAGAATATTGCTTTTGTTACGCTGGGAAAAAGCTTTCAGATTGATCATTTATCAAATTATATCACCTCCGTCTGAGCTGAATTACGTCTGGGCATGTCACAAATACGACCATTGATCTATACTAACAATATGTATTAAATTTCCTTACTAGTATGTAATTAGTATGTATTAAAGTTCCTAACCTACGCTGATGTTTTTCAGCTTTGTCGTGAGCTCCTATTTGGTAGAATATCACGAGAATATTTTTTTCCTCCACTGTAATTTCAGAGTTTTGATGTCACAAGTTCCATGGGGGTGTCCACGTTTGACATAGAAAAATTCTACTTTCGGCCCATATGCTGTTCTCAGTTCGTACAATAAACTCTCTTGCGTATGGAAAGAGGGGAACAACCAGATCTAGTTCAAACCTCATCCTCAGAGCCCCTTTTTCCTTTTTATTTTCTTACGCAGCTTGCAGTCGATTCACCGGATACCCGACTGACTATCAGGGAGGAGAAGTGCTATGCCACACCAACCCAGAATCCTGATGATGTCATGCAGTATGACATTATACGACAAAGGTAATTCAACGATGCGTTCAACTTATTATTACTTCGTTAAAATTTAATGCAACCTGCTGAAATCTGAATGATCAGGACAGAATTTCTCCTTACAGTATCAGTACAATATCAAGCAGACCAGTGAATAGTAAAGAAAAAAATCAGTTAGGGGATTATTGATTGATCTAAAATTATATTCCCTGAACTAACATCACGAGAAATGTGTGGTAGACAGTGAGGAGAATTACTTATGAGATCTTGGGAGTGAAAGGGTTAAATACTTCTTGTTTGACCGCCATTATGGACTCTGTAAGAAGTGGTAAGTTGGGGAGAGAAAAAGTGTTTTTACAAAAGAGGTTATCGTTAGAACAGAGTAAATGAGGGGGATGGGGTGGTGGAATGAAGCCCTCCCTTAACTCATGCCCTCCACCACCGAGCTGGCTTGTAATGCTTACTAGCACCTCCCACAATGAAATATCTACAATGCAGGCTCGCAGGATGATAGCGAAAAATTAACCTCCTCCCCTCTCCCCACACCCTTACTTCGCCCAAAACCAAGGTGAGCGCGCTCTTGGAGCGAAAAGCGCTACTTTGGCTCCATTGAAATAGTTTGGGAAGGGGGAGGGTGGTGCAAATGTTCCACTAGTTTCGTCAATGAAGGTGAGTAATAATTATTTTCCTTGGTGTATCATAAGGACTTTTTTCTTGGTATTTACACTCTCAAATGGCTGTGGTTGACCATTGCAACATCGTTTTCACCTTTTAACTTTCACACATCGAATCATAACATGTGCCTTATACCATATACCATATACACAACCTCGCAGATGTTGTGTATATAATGATTATTGACGTATTTAAGAAATCATTTGAACAATGAATTAATGCATTATTAAATTATTTTGATCAGCAAGTTTAAAAGTGCTTATTATGTGTTTTATTTTCGTAGCTGCGTTGTGGATTCCACAGTGAAATATTACCCGGGCCCCCAAGGTACCAGACGGTTTAGTTTTGACACATTTCAGTTCACAGGGGAGTACGGCGGCTTTGTGTACTTGCACTGTAAATTGGTTGTTTGCAATGCTACAGACCCCAACTCCCGCTGCAATGTCGACTGCTTCACTGATTTCCCCAGAAGAAGAAGGCGAGCAATGGAGAAGGAGAAGGGTGTAGCTCGAGCCGGCCTCTCTGAGGGACCATTCGTATTTAAAAGTGAGAGGCAAGGAGACAAAGAATCAGTACACTCTGAAGAAGGTACGACTTAATTTGAAACAGGTTTGCATCATGTTAAACTCAAACCCGCATGTCACGATTTGCATCGGCCCTGGACTAGCCTCGTTATCACAAGGAGGCTTGGAGTTATTATTACTATTATTGTTATTATTTTCAAGAGGTACAAACAGACTTAGAATTTTCATTAAGTAGATAGTAGTAGTTCATGGCATTCCTTTCATTCTAAGGTATTTTTGTTCTTTTCGAATTTTAGAATCTCCATTCAATATCACAACCGTTGTTGTGGTTGCTATGGCAATCTTTTGCGCCGTGTGCCTCGCAGTGATCGTGTACATGAAGGTGAAATTTGTCCCCAAACCTCATCCAGACCCGGACAGAGAAACCTCTCTTTAGACATCTTATAGCCATCACCACTACTTATGTACCTGATCAAGTCAGCCAGTATCTGTTTTAAAATGGTCCAATGTTGGCTTGTTTCTAAAAAGATATTTTATTGTGATATAACTTTTAGTTCATATGTTAAACTTTTTGAAAGACAACATACACATATCGTTTGCGTTGTGACATTACACGTCAAGTCGAGAGTGGAGATTTATGATTTAAAACAAAGACAACAGTGGATCTACCTGTGTTGCTATCCATAGACTGAGAAGCAAGAATTGTAATGAGCCGAAAACCAGTTGTTGACGCCTTGTATCCACGGAGTTCTTTGATAGGCAAATAAAAAGTATGTTTTAAATTTTGCCAAATTTCGTCACAACTGTAAAACCCCCCTCCCTCGACTGCGCCTTTACCCTCTCCTCCCTCCCTTCTCCTTTTTATTCTCGCATCTAACTCATCTGGCCTTCGGTTTTTGCAGTCTTCACTTCATCTTGAATCTATTACTAAACAGACGCACGGTAACACGGAACCTAATTGTTGTATATAATATTCCTAGAGACAAACTTGTTCATAGTGGTATCGTTTATGCGTCTGTTCTTCTGTAGATAGTAAGTGAGATCCAATCAAAATTTGAAAAGTTAATCTTTCTACCAAGTCTTAAAACGTACGGTTCAGAGCCACCTTAAACTTTCAAAAATTAAAGCGGCGCTGAACTGTATGAAAAAATCTAAGAATGAAAATATTTGCGGAAAGATATATCTCGACTTGCCGCTTTCAATCCCGTGAAAAAAAATGCTGGTCACCGATATAGAAAAGAAATCAATTATAATTTTTTTTATGTTTGAGAAACTAGAAGCTATTTCTGAAACCAGCTTAAGGAGATCAAAACGAAATAATTGCTGTTTCAAAGTAAAGAAAAAAGTTCATCCAGGTGTTTAGGTGTCTTAGATTGGTTTCGTTACTTCGGGAAACATAAAGGTGTCAAATTATCTTCAATATCTATGTATTTGCAAGGCAGGAAATTCACTTACAAATCCTCCCTTTTCCGATTGGAACGCTCCCACCCTGTGTATGCAGGCAATTCCCCGACAAACCTTCCCATTTCCGATTTGAACGCTCCTATTCTGTGTATGGGGCCTTATTTTTTTTCTTCTCGACAGAACATAACGCTATACTGATCATATCCTTCATAGATAGGATCGCTTATTCACCCCTTTATCTTCTACACATTTCCTTACTTTTTTAGTTACTAGAATGTGGTGTCAGATCAGGATCACAACTTTTATTAAATAATTTTGAGTAGACTCATTACCTGTTCGCAGGACAATGAATGGATATTAAAGAGAGAAATGGCCTGTTAATAACTTCTGGGAGTAACAAGATTATCAACCTCTATCAGCGTAATATCAACTTCTCCTCTCTGGGGGTGGGGGATGTCATATGTTTTTTCAGCCTTTGATCTCTACCAGAAACATATACTTCTAAGGATATCAAGGCTCCTGGACAAGAGATGCAGCAAAGCATGATAATCTTTGCTAAATGGTGCTCTGAAGAAATTTAGCTACACAAGGGCGGGAGTTTACCAAGCAAAGAGAAGTCAGTTTTTTCCTTCTGTTTATTCCAGGCCTCAGCGACCGACCGAGCACTAGGCCTGCTTTTAGTCTTTAGACTTCCCTCGGCTAATTGTTTTTTTCTTGTACGTATTTCCTGCTGACGAGTGGAAACGTGATTGTCAGGTTGGGCACAGTAATTTACAAGGGTTACAAAAGCCCTTTTTTTTTTTTTTTTTAATTATCTTATCACTGCACCAAATGATAATGTAAACACTTCTTGGTGTGATAAGTGTAAGATTGATCTTCCATGTGTGAAAAATGTCCTTTCATGTCATGAAGGTTGTGGATGAATCCGCACGACATACGTGTGCGCGTGCGAGTGGAGATACGCGAATCACGAACGTGATGGTAAGGGCGAGACGCGCGAGCGTGGAAGGCGCACGGGACTGTTTGCGCAACGTGAAGTGTTCACTTACAAGAGTGAGGGGTCTCGCCTGTCTCAGTTTATTAAAGTGATGAGAACATCAACCGTTTTTTATTCTCTTTTTATTTGCTCAATTTGATTTTCAACTACTGAGTAGTTGATTTTAACGATTTGCTTCACTCAGGAAATCAGGAAAAAGCCGCTCGTTGACTTGACCTTGACCGTAAAAATTACATGCGTCACGCATCGTGAGCACTGCGTTACAGCTGTAACTATTTCGTGGTCACGCATATGTTTACTCAATTCGCGTGCAAAGACAAGCAGATTACGACTAATCCACCACGAGGCGTTAAAATCGTGGAGCATAAACGATAGCGTGGTACGTGTTCTTGATTTTGCTAAATTCTTGGCAGCATCTATGTTTTTGCAAGGTTGGAGATCACAAATCCGCTAACTTCCTATTTAGGCACTCCCGTTAGGTGTCATGCGACCTTTTGTGTTATTATAAAAGAAACACTGTTCGTGTCCTTCTAGAAAAGTCTTCGTTTTCATTAAAATGATGAGGAAACCGTCAGGTTAGGCACGTATTTCGGCGCACATACCTTGTATCATGCCGCTCTCTATAGTGGAGTCAAAGGCCGTTGTAATTAGGATTTTCCCTGATCACCGTTTGAACGCGTAAACGGCATTGCCTGCCTTTTTTTAAGGCGGTATTTCATGTTTTTCTGTTGTTTAATCTTCGCTTTATCGAACATATCCTGTTATCCCGGAAGGCCAACCCTAATCGCAGATATACGCATGGACAGGACACAAAGTACTCAACACTGACATCTCACCTGAGAGCAAATTTAGGACTATCAATTGAGTATTCAGTTACATTTTATCACCAAACCGCAACACCTACCCACCCCGCATTTAAACTCTGGCCATTATCAAATGCCAAGAAGGCTTAGTAAATGATCTTCAGAACTGCCGAAAATTCCGTGCCGTAATTGGAATCTGAAGTTCATCGCTGGAACAGTGGTTCGTCGTGAAAGCGTGATTTACGTCACCCGACCAGAGACACTATCAGAAGAGCAAACTCCTCACGTTGAAAGCTCTCCATCGAGTCAGACTCCTGGTGTCAATGTTTATTTTTGGTGGAAACTCTCACCTTTGAAGCGAAGGGATTTTCATAGGGAATTTGATTAAATCTATGGACAATGGTTTACGGTTCGAGGAGATTAGATGCTCTTGGATCGTTGCTGTTTTTGGTCCTATTCTGTAGAGGTAAGCTCTGCTATCTTGCGGTTTTTGCTTAGTTTATATGCGAGTCTAGGACCGTTACGTTTTTGTGAGTTTAGTGCAATCAGTTTTCTTAAAGATATCGACTGCAGTGTTTGAAGACAAGGTTTTCTATTTAGCTGTCAAAGTGACAAACGTGTATTAGTTTTTCACACTTTCAAGCGATTTCTATCAAAGAGAAATTGGTGATATTTCCTCCTCTCTAATATCTCGGTGATGCCAGAGGATATAACCTCCCAGTAAGAAAATTAACCAACAAACCGAGATTACGATCGACCTTACCTCCGCGCTTCGCCATAACAAAAAATTTTAGACCAGAGATAAAAATTTTCTAGCCTTAAAGAGTGAATAGAATTTTTTCCTGTATGAAAATCCAAATTTACAGTGTTATCTCGAAAAGATAAGATTGCATCTTGAATTCTACACAGCAATATCGATTAAAAGCAACGGGAAATAAGAAGACTTATCTCTCCGAGCTTATCTGCACGAGTGGGGGGAGTTACTATCACTGTTGATATCTCTAAAGCTCTGAACAGGTCAAAATAACACAATTAAGAACACGGCAACTTTTTGTGGATCTCTAAAATCCTTTAGAAAATCTAAGCTTTAGTAAAAATTAAATTTAAGTAGATTTTTTTCAGCCTGATCACTAATGTATCGAATAACGGTGAATTGATCCACTGTATGTTTTAAATAGCAGTCGAAAACAAAACCAAAAATAAAAGGCTTATTAATGAAGCACAAGGACACTTTCTATATCCCACTGCTTTGATCGAATAGAAAAACAAATATATAAAAACAGAAACTCTTTATTTTGCTGTCAGTTCCACTGCGTTGTTTAGAACACCCTGTGTATTTCTCAAGTTACATTGTTTGAAAGGGGAAATTTCAAATAAGTTTAAAATATTATGTGGGCGAAAGGTAAAGTTGTGATGGGTATTAAAACAAAGCGTATCGTGTTAAGACATTCGTTTATTCATCTTTCATCTGCTTTATTTGTAAGGATGACTAAAATGACACGTAGAGATTGGAAAGCCCTCACGCTGCCAAATTTGTCGGTTTAAAACCCTTTTGAGGTTCCCTGAGGTAACCGTACTGAACGGCTCTTGAATGACAGTGATTTTCGTGCCTGTGAAAAAAACGAGCTTATTAGTAGTGGCGAATTGCATCCTAGAAAAATCATGGATCTAGCAAACTCTTCATCTGATCTTGAAAATTCTTTGCGACAAGTTGCTGAACTCCCATTTATACTTCATTTATTTCTGTCATAGACTCAAATCTCGTTTTTTTTTCTTCAAGTTATTTATCTTTTCCTCACAGCTGAGGATTCAGGTCAGCAGGTAGCTATAGTCTTGCGTAAGTTTGTGTTATCGTTATGCGACCCCCTCTCAAGTGGGGATAGCGTGCAAGCAATAATTTGAGTCACTTTTTCTACGGCAACGATAAGGAGGTGTTTAAGTCTTGGTCAAGGAGTTTGAGAAAGGCATCTTACTTTCCTGGAAAATCTCGTTTCGTACAGCGACTTTTAAGCTGCTTTTGAAATATGCGATACAAATAATTGTTGGGTCGATAGGAAATGAGATGGAAAAAGGGAGCTGTCGTAAACGAGGATTTCTTCATCTGTGAACCCCAAAACGTCTCTTACTCGTATAACGTGAACATGTAACGTCCGAAAAATGTCACGCATGTACAACACCTTGGTCATACCTTACGAATACTTTCCATTTGATTCATACTGAGCATAAAGGTCGAAAATAAACGTTTGATTTACCATCTGTAACTAAGCAAGATTATTTACCTTACTTGTAAAAACTCCCTGATGAAGTCTGCGCGCTTTTTAAGCTGCTTTTGAAATATGCGATACAAATAATTGTTGGGTCGATAGGAAATGAGATGGAAAAAGGGAGCCGTCATAAACGAAGATTTCTTCATCTGTGAACCCCAAAACGTCCCTTACTCGTATAACGTGAACATGTAACGTCCGAAAAATGTCACGCATGTACAACACCTTGGTCACACCTTACGAATACTTTCCATTTGATTCATACTGAGCATAAAGGTCGAAA